TTACAGCAGCACTTCTCATGTTGCCAGCCTTGTTAAGCAAGACACTTCAACATTTCGTTGTGCTCAGGTGTGTATGTTGTTTTCTGTTTAGTATATGCTGTGATAAATGCATTTTATAATGCTTGATATTCTTTATATTAGGATGATGCAGTGGGTAGTGCTGTCACCTTACAGCAAGAAGGTCACTGGTTCGAGCCTCGGCTGGGTCAGTTGGCATTTGTGTGAGGAGTTTGCATATTCTTCCAGTGTTCGTGAGGGTTTCCTCCAAGTGCTCCGGTTTCCCCACAAGTATAAAGACATGCGCTATAGCTGAATTTGGTAAGCTTATTTGTCTGTAGTGTATAAATGTGTGTGTGAATAAGTGTGTCTGGATGTTTCGTAATACTGGGTTGCAGCTAGAAAAGCATCTGCTGCATAAAACATATGCTGGATAAGTTGGTGGTTCATTCCACTGTGGCAACCCCAGATTAATAAAGGGACTAAGCCGAAAAGAAATTGAATGAATGAATGAAATTTATATTAGTCTTTTAATCTGTGATACTTTTTTTTTTAATCAGTGAATATTAATTATTTTACTTTCTATGCATGTTGATTTTCTCTTCATTAGTGATAGAGTGACTGATATTAATGTAATTATTGCTTTGTCATTTACAGTGAACCATCTTCACCACATCCAACAGTTCAAGTACAGGAGGAGACCGCCAACTGTGTTAACAAGACGAGTCACGGCAGTCTTCAGAGTTGATGGGATTGCGATTGGCCGGGCTAATGATGTGGACGAATATACATTTTTGACATATCCATCTTATTAGAAGAACACCTTGATGTTTCTGCAGTGGAATGTTTTGAATGAACGGTGGACGGTGACAAGCCTCGATCTACTCCAGTTACCAGAGTGATCAACCTTGTTTTTTGTTTCTTTACATGCTCTTGGGATAATCACAATCATCAAGTTAATCCAGCACACTGCTATCATTCATGCATAAAGCAAATTTTTAAATAACTTGTGCTCCTAATGACTATCAAAGAACATTTTCCAGATATGAGTGCTTGACATGTCATGTTTATCAAATTACAACTCCACTTGAGGATGATGAGGAGTAAACTACTGATGTTGAGGAAGAGGCTACTGATGTATTTGGTTTTCTGCACTGTTGAAGCAATTTATAGAGAAAATAAATGAAATGAAATTCAGAGAAAATGTTGATGACAAATTATTTATTATGACCGAGTATTCTGACTCAAGACAAATACTTTGGACTTTATGAAGTGCAGTACTTGATGTAGCCTGTGTAATGTGTTTATAAATCTTATACAGTATTCTTGTGGTCTTTGTATTAAGTGTAGATTATTTAGTTTTTATTCTTATCTAAATTGTTCTTTTTACTGTTTTACATGTCTGCTTTATACTTGCTGTGTAATTTTATTTCTTAACACATTCAGTTGTGATTTGTAATAAAATATTTCTACATTAATAAATAAATAAAAATGGACATCTGTGAACCAAAATATTTTATTTATTTGTGCATGCAGTCACCAAAGGATCAAAATGCCTGGGTCAGTACCCTGAAAATACTGTATAATATAAAAAGGTACATTTTTGTACCTTCAGTGTCTAGGGTACAAAATTGACCCTTAAAGGGTACAAATGTAGAAGGTACAATTTTGTACCTTTAAATAGAGGTACAAATTTGTACCCTTAAGGGTACCACCCCAGTGACGGGCCATTTGTACCCTAAAAGGTACAATTTTGTACCTTTTTTTCTGAGAGTGCAGACAGTGCCGGTAATATCTGACTTCATGTCATCTGAATTGCTTAATCAGATCCCAAAATGTACAACTTGTTATAGCATTTAAAATGCTTATAATCAGATTTTAGGTCGGTTACACTGCAAAAAACATTTAGTTGACTCTACTTAAATAAAATTAGTAAACCTGTTACCTTGAAATTATTAAGTAAATGAGCTATACGCATAATTATACAAATTAAGTCAACTTAATAGATTCAAGTTACAACAGGTTTACTCATTTTTTTAAGTAAAGTCATTTATTGCTTCTTACATGGTACCTGATTGTAAACTATTACAAAAGTTTATACAAAATTATTACTTGAAAGGAAAATTTAAAAAGAGAATAAAATATATAACACAATTATAAAAGAAAAGAAACGTTCCTTTTCCAAAAAGCAAAAACTATATGTCATGATTTCCATTTCCGTGTAAGCTTTAATCATAACAGAACACAATTTGAAGTAATCTACTTATCATCACTCTATTTAGATTATAACTTCCTTGTAGAAAAAATATATTCTTATATACAAAACTAGTCCTTTCACAAAGAGAGACAGAAAATGGAGTCTTGGAAACCAGTCTTGGAAACACCATTCCATCATTGAAATGACAAATATTATACTACAAATGGCAAGAATAATTGCACTACTGATCAAAAGTTTGAGGTCAGTAGAATTTTTAAATGTTTTAAAGTAAGCTTCTCCTGCACACCAAAGCTGCATTTATTTGATCAAAAATACAGAACAAACTGTAAAATTGTGAAATGTTATTGCACTATAAAATCACTGTTCAAATGCAGTTTATCGTTTGATTTAATAGTTTATTTCAAATTATTTTAAAGATGAATTTTCAGCTTCATCACTCCAGTCTTCAGTCACATGATCCTTTAGAATTAATGGTAATAGTAATAAAAGTAATCATTTCTGGAGTAATCATTTCATCAAACTACATACAATAAGAAAGCAGTTTTTTAAAATTGTTTTTAAATATTTAACAACTTATATTTTTTACATTTAATAAATGCCGCCCTGATGAACAGAATAATTTTATTAAAAAAAGATGAAAAAAAAACAAAAAACTTTTGACTGGTAGTGTATATGCATCTCCTAGGGTATTGATCCTCTTGATCCCAATATGTATACAGTTGAAGACAAAATTATTTGTCCTACTGTGAAATTTAAAATCTTTCAAAAATATCTCCACGAGAGAAAGTCTTATTGCTTTTGGTTTGGCTGAAATAAAGCAGTTTTTACACTTAGAAAAGGTGTAGGCAAATATTATTAGCCCTCTTTGAATTTTTTTTTTCGACTGGCTACAGAACAAACCACTGTTGTCCAATATCCTGCCTTATTAGCCTAAATTTCCTAATATTTAAGCCTTTAAAGTGCACTTTAATCTGAATACTAGTTTCATGCAAAATAATAAGTCAAATGTTATATACAGTCAACATTTCAAATACAATGAAATAAATTGGTTATTAAAGCTTTTATGTTTAAAAATATGTTGAAAAAAGTCGTTTCCTTCAACAGAAATTTACAAAGTTCAAAATTCATGTTATAACCCCACTAACACTCAAGAGGTTTTCACTAAGTAATTCAGTAAGTGCTCTATAAAGGGTTAAGTTGCTCAAATACTGAAATCTGAAATTGTCAACTAAGATATAGCCATAAAACAAAATATCTTTGTTTCTAAATGTACTTTCAAAGGAGTGTGCAACCATGAAGATCAAAAGTCAAACATTTTAAGCAAACTGTAAACTTATCTTTTGTTTTTACAGCATATTTAAACAGAATAAAAAAAACTTGGCCTTGTGGTAATGGGTTTAAAATTTGCATTAGTAAATGTATATATGCAAAGAAAAAAAAAAACATGTCTAGTATTACATGCCCAGGTAACTCAGCGGGGACCTTGATGTCAAAACAACACCAAAAAGCACATCAATCAATTTGAAATCAGCAGTTAAAAGGGCATCAAACTGACATTCAGCTTTTCGACATCAAAGTACTTCACATGCTTAGTAGGGATACAAAATCCCACACTGTAAAACTCAAAAAGTTAAGGTAACTCAAACCATTTGAGGAAACAGATTGCAACAAATTATTTAAGTTCAAAAACTAATCTTAATGAGTGCTATGAACTTAATCCATTTGAGTAAACGAAGCAATTTGAGCACAGTGAAACCCAACAATTGAAGAGAACTCAAACCAGCTGAGTACTGTAAAACCCAAAAAGTTAAGGCAACTCAAACCGTTTGAGGAAACCACTACAAACCATTTGAGTTAAAGATGAGTACTGTGAACTTATCCCATTTAAGTTGAAGTAATGAGTAGGGCCAAACGGAATCTGCGGACGTTTTTTGCTATTTCTGTGGAGAATTTTGGTAAAAATCTGTGGATTTCTGCGGAATTCTTTTGGGAGTATCAGAACTAAAAACTTAATGTGTGAAATTAAAAAAAAAAAATTCTTTTTAACTTTTATTTATTGTTTAAAATGCAAATACAATAAGATTAACTTTATGTGGGTTAAACAAAGCAATTCTCTCATATAATATATCTACTAAAAGACAGAAAATATTACTGTACAAACTGCATTGTACGTAAATCAGATGAACATTTTCATATTGCTCAGTAATATTACTGTAATTAATTTGACAACTGAATAAATATAGATACATTTCATTAACTCATTACCTTCAACACTGAGTTCAAAACTCTTTTCAAATGAGCAGAATTGACTTTCAGTCAATTTTAAGTTAACTACACTCATTTCATTTGATAAAGTTGACTGTTGGGTTTTACAGTGCATGCAAATTTGTAATTGAAGCTTTCAAATAAACACAATTCTTATAGTACAATACTTTTTGTGTCATTAATTTGGTGGTCAAAAGGTCATCAATACGTGCATGTCAAAGGGTTTGACATCAATTCGATTTGCATTTTCGACGTCATGATATTGTTTTGACCTCACAGAGTTTTCTGGAAAGTCTGTCCAAGTCGTCAGAGTTAAAACAGTGTAACCTAATCTTAAAGTCTTAACTCTAAACAAATAATGAGCATTTGCATAGTTCCAGTAACTGCTCCAACGTCCAAATGAATGATTCACTGTGCTAGCTCCCCTGGTGGCCTGAGACGCTCACATAAACGTCATCCACAAAGAGGGTGTGTGGTTTGGAAAATTGGAGGATGATTCATTGCGACTCCAGAGGTTATATGCAAAGAGACTGAAATGTTTTACTTATGTGCGACACAGTTAGACAGCGTGATATGAAAGGTCTATTTCAACAGTCGGTGGGATATTCAAAAAGTCCCAAGCAGTGTTCTGTAACAGGGCTGTTTGGCCGGCGATGTGAGGGAATTTCAGAGCTCCACATTCATTAAGTGTTCGCTCAGTGCTGATGCTCGTGCTCCATTGTCCCCCCGTGTTTTTTGATACGTCTTGAAAAGCTTTATAGGGATCATCCCTTGCGATTGTGTGATCATGATGTAACAGAGGAGAATACAGTGGATTGGCACTGGTGATTAGATTTTGCCTGATCACATTGTCGTCTGCATCAACATTAGAGGAAAGTTTCGCACAACCATCTACAACATCTCTCTTTTCCACAACAGCACTGAAAGCCTGATATCCTTCATCAGGAAAGTTCTGCAGGCTCTTAATGATATCAATAGAGTTTTCCAGCTTAAATATGGAGTCTGAGACTTTTCTATCATCAGAATGATCACAGTTCAGGTCCAAAAATGAAGAATCATCAGTGGTTCCTTCCAAATATGACTTGTTGCTGAAAACCGATGAACCCGAGCAGGTCCCCGAATCTCTGTTAGCACGATTCCTTTCCTTTGAAGAAGACTCCACACTGTTGTATGGCATCTCAGTGAACTGGTTGAGTGGTGTGTTCCATTTCAACCGTAAATTATCTTGAGCTATTGCGAATTCAAGTTGTGATCGGATGTCTTGCACCGGATTGCTACCAGAATCACAGACGGCCTGGCCATAATCCCCTGGTGATGATTCAACACTGTGAGAACTTCTCTCGTTGTTTGGGTTCACACATACTGGTGAGATCCTGACAGAAAGACAGACATGTTGAGGTGTTATTAAGAAGACATAGAACGACACTAAGCATGATTACAGTGTATAAATAAAATAACATACGATTTCTTTTCCTCCTCGAAGTCTAGATTAATAACCTCAACTTGGTTTGGGTAGACTGCATTGGAGGAAGGAGGCAAAACTTGACCCTATGAAACAAAGGAAAAATGAGGAGTTATTATGACTCACATTATGATGAAATGATGTATCATTAAATACATTTATTATGGTGGCTTGAGAAAGCCAACATACTGTTGTACTACATAAACGTCTTATTCTTCCGTCTTCTTTTTCTTACACTACTTCAAGAACACATCTCCTCCTAGCCTGTTCATACTACAACCATCAAACTAACTCTAAAAAACTATACTGAATTAAGTTGATATATCTTTTCCAACTGATCCAACTAATGGTTTTCCGAAAACTGACCCGGAAAATTTGGAAAAGTACCATTGATTAAACGTTGGACCAAACTTTGTGACCTCATTGGGCTCATTTAACTCAGGCTACCAATCTGCCAATTACTAACCACACACTAGAAACCCCTTACGACACCCTAGCCACTGTCCCATAGACTTCCATTGTAAAAAACTGCCATTGACCATACCAATCCCTACTAGAAACATACAAACACACATACTAATCATACTAGCAACATGCTAGTTTATATTAGAAACATGCTAACAACAAGCTAATTTGTGCTAGAAACATGCTAGTGTAACAGGTGTACTATATTTATTTATTATTGGACCAGACAATAAAACCAGAAGACTATAAGGTAAGTAAAAGGAGGTGGGGGTGAAACTGAGTAATAACCAGACACAAACGGAATGTTTTAAATACAAAAATAATTTTACTTTAGATTGTATGAATTTTTTCCTTTTCGTATTTTTCTTAGTAAACAATACTTACATCAGTAACATAACTATTTATACACAATCCCCAGGGTGCACCCACTTTACAATTATTATAAATCAAACACGAATCACAATAAATGAATTCAAGTGAAAACAAAAGAAACCATACAATAGCACAAATAAATCAGTGTCGTTGTTCACTCTGAAATTAGTTAAATCTGTTCAATTCAGATAAAGTTCTGTTTTTTCCCTTCAAGAAAATAAGTCCTTACAGCTGTATTCAAAATCGCAGTCCAATAAAGGAATTAACTTTTTGCCAAATTCTTACTTTATCCGGTGAAATGAGGATAAACTGAAATATGTGTACTTCATAATTTTCCAGGTCGACGTGGGAGGATCGCCATCAATTCAACTGAATCCAGGGAACTAGGAAAATCTCCTCCAAAAAAAAAAAAAAACAGGCCTGTTCACAGACCAGAGTATATAAATAAGTTTATATAAATATGTTCAGAATAAGTTCAAAAACATGCAAAATATACAACACTTGGAACAAATAAAACACATACACACACATGTATACCATAAAATGAGCTAATATAATGGAATACCTGTCAAATTCGCAATGTCTATATCACTCTATGGCCTTCTCACACACACGCAATTGCAAAATGGCGTCAGCGCACTGTAAACGCAATGCAACATGCGGTCTGACTTCAACACACTATCACGCTAAATAACAACTATTTTGCAAGTACAACTTGATTTAGTACAACTACAATCACTTTTAAACTGTTTAGGTATCGTAACATACCGTATTTTAATCTTTTTGTAGGGATGGCTGACATGAAACTGACGTTTCGACACAGTGTCGAGATCCCGAAGCGCAAGTGTTTCGAAACACTGCACCGAAGCATGATCCGAAGCACCCAAGTCACGTGACTAAATTGTTTCGAAACACTTGGTCACGTGACTAAAGCGATTCAAAACATTGATCACCTTAGAAGCGTTTCGAGACCTGGCAAATCTCCATTTGGCTGCCAAGGTCAGGAAAATCCCATTTCATATGGTCTAGTGGACTGTGCATGTGCACGATGTTGCAGTGCATGTAATGACTTTTTGGGTTCGAATCTCGACTTCTACAAATACTCCGTTTCTGTTTTGTGTAGCCTAAATATGATACAGCTGCAGTTATGCCATCAATTTAGCATCCTTTTTGTAACACTGTAAAACAATAATTAATATTTTTACAGTACTGTGATAGTTTGGTTTAGGGTTTGGGTAGACGTTAATAAAATACAATAAATGGGAAATTTTATGAATAATATAAATAATTCTTGATAACTTCAGGCCACAGTTTCTGATCTAGCAACAACCCTGTTTTAAGACCAAAACAAGAAATATTTATTAACAAATTGTTTATTCGGATATCAGACCAATGTTGAAACAAAACGATTCAAGAGCAAAGCATTACCAACTGGTATTGAAGCATTTCAAAATAGCTATAATTGCCTGGCTTCGAACCCACTATCCCCAGACACCTACAAAGTGGGCTTTAATACCTCAATTTGCTCAGCTGTTATGTGCTGCAGCTGTTTCAGTGCAATACATAAAAAATGACCACTAGGTGTCACTGTACAGTGGGGTTTCGAAACGTTTGAAGCTTCGACACATTTGCTTCGACTTTTTCAGTGTTTCATGAAGCCCCGCTTTGCCCACCAATATCTTTTTGTTCAAGTTTGCTCCTCTCTATTGTTCTGCCAACAGGTCTCGTCTCAAGCTGGAAGGGGCGGAGCTAACAACCCACTCCTACGATTGGTTGTTACTTTACCTCAAACTACATTTGTATACATTAATTTTATTTTGTTTATTATATTTATAAAGACTTGTAGATATAATAATAATATGATTATGCTGCTCTAAATAATATTATAAATAATTATATAACTATTTCACTAGGGTTACACTAGCAACATGCTAATTCATACTAGAACTATGATAATTTATTTTAGCAACTGCCTAGCAACTACTCAGAACACCTTAGCAACACCCTAGCAACACCTTAGCAATGACCTAGAACAGGGGTGTCCAAACTCGGTCCTGGAGGGCCAGTGTTCTGCAGATTTTAGCTCCAACTTGCCTCAACACACCTGCAAGGATGTTTCTAGAATGCCTAGTAAGAGCTTGATTAGCTAGCCCAGGTGTGTATGATTGGGGTTGGAAATAAACTTTGCAGGACACCAGCCCTCCAGGACTGAGTTTGGATATGGCTGACCTAAAACAACTTAGCGGCCGTCTAGCAACCACTCAGAACACCCTAACAAACATCTAGCAACATCTTAGCAACCACCTAGCAATGCCTTAGTGACCGCCTAGTAACCACTGAGAACAATCTAGCAACCACCAAGCAACACCATAGCAATGACCTAAAACACCTTAGCAACCACTCAGAACACCCTAACAACTGCCTAGCAACACCGTAGCAACCACTCAGAATAAGCAAAAAACTGAGTAGCAACGCCTTGGCAACCGACCAGCAACCACTCAGAACACCCTATCAACTGCCTAGCAAGAAACAAGTTCCTGAAACAGATCGGGGTAACAGATCCGGCATGTTACCCGAGGATGTAAAGGTGTCGCGCACGAAACTGGAAAGCAGGGGGTGGAGGGATACAGTGCATTGGATGGCAGATAGGTGTTGCGGACGAAAGTGAAGAGGGTTGGATAGTCACGTAAGAAAGTGAAAGTGAACAGCGGACGGGGGAGGAGGGCAGTTGAGGTGGGGGATCTGTAAATGAGGTGCCGGATCAGATTTCAGAGGTGCTGGATCTGGCGTGTTCCAGCACAGATTAAGCCCCGGTTATAAGTTTCACACTTCTTAAAACGACTTCAATGATTTAAACTTTGAAACTTCTTCAAACTTTCAGACTGGGCTTTTATCAAGACGCATGAATTTTGTCTACGAACTTTACTTTTCTAGTTGATCATTGTTTTTACCTTCTTATTTCCAAAATTGTCTTTAATTGTTGGCTTGGCGATCTTGTCCCACCAATTTGACTTCATCCTGTAATGAAGAAGTAAAGTGCGTCAGGACTTGTCAAGGTTGCATAAAGGAATAGTAAAAAGGCTAAATATAGAGTGATGGCAAGACAAGTCTTACCTCAAAAAACAGATGAAGGTCATACAAATGATGATGAGTAAACCAATACACAATGGTGGAACCACCAGTTTGACTATTTCATTAGGTAATGGAGCTGTGGAACACATACAGATTGATCAGCATTAATAGAGTATTACCACACAGTCAGTTGCTGCAGTCTAACATGTCCCAAAATCCTTTGTGTCATTCATCTGACATTCCAGTTATTGTTAAAAACATATTTATTGGTTAAGAAAATGAATATTTATTACAGGAACTCCACTGCTGTTTCCACAATCAGGAAGTTCCAGTAATAAAAACCTGCTTTAATAACAACGGTTAAACCTTTGAAGACAGACAGCTTTGAGGTTAATCAGTTACATGTGCTTACATGCATCTCTTTTGTCTAAATAAACCTAATTATAAAAAACAACCATGTTCAATGCAGAAAAAAACCCATGATACTGTGAAGACAGCTCAACCAATTTAAGGGTTGCAGTGAACATTGCATGGCAAATAGACCTTTAGCCCCACCCAATCCCATGTAGCACCACCACATTATTTATTTCACCACATTCACATTATTTCATTAAAGATATGTCTGAAGTAGACTGTATTAACAGCTGAGCAGTTTCTGAATTATTTATTTAATTGCATCATATAGATTTTTGGGTCCCACTTTATATTAAGTAGCCCTAACTAATATATACTTACATAGGAGTTAATAGTTTGTTACAATGTACTTATTGTGTAAGTACATGTATTTACTGTGTACTTATGCTTGATTAAATACATGTATGTAATTACATCTGTAATTAACTTTTGTAACTACATTTGTAAATACACTGTTGACCATCCCTTACACCTTAACCTACCCTTAAACCAACCCATGCCGCCAAACCTGTCCATAACCTAACCTCTATCCCAAGTCAAAAGCACCACAAGTGTTTTCAAATACATAATAAACAGTAAGTACATTGTATTTATTTTTTTGATGTAAGTACATAGTAGTTAGGGACACTTAATATAAAGTGGGACCGATTTTTGTAATGTCTTAATGATAATAAAACAAAGGATATTGCTCACAAATTAGGATTATAAGGCTGCATGACATAAAACTAAATCAATAAATCAACAGTTTAGTCTGTATTACTCTACCACAGCTGGGAATTAACCCCATCATTTGCTTTGGCTTCAAAGCAAAGCAAACACCAAACTCCTGTTTCGACATATAGTAATACAATATACAAAAGAGAGAGAACAACTTAAAGCAAAATTTATCTTACATTTAGTAATATTTTAAAATGTCTGCTGAGAAAAAGCAATGCCTCCTTTCAACAAATAAGGAGAATTGCTCTCCTTCAAAATGTCCTTCATGATTTATCATTACACAGTCTCTGTTGCCATCAAATGATGGAAGAATGTAACTTGAACTGTCAATCACTACAAACACTGACCATTTTGCAAGAGAAAGTACTTTTATTTAATGATACTGTAATTCATATAAAAATTACCTTTATTGAGCAATAACATTTAACAACATAACAATTCTAAGCAAATCAGTCGAAAAAACAATGGCTGCGTTTTCATATAGCAATAAGCTTAATGCATACAAAGTAATAAATCAGTAATAATACAGTCAAATCTGTTTTCTCTGGAACAAATAACAGATGACTATGACCAAATATTGCAATTAGATATACTCAAAACAAATGACATTTCACATTTAACACTTATAGAGACATACGACAAATTTCAGAATAAGTGTCCATCAGATGGATGCTTTCTGCAAGGAACACCTGCTGTTGCGCTTACAATCCTATTTTCAAAAACATTGAAACATATTTTCAAATGAGTAAAAAAAAGAATATATGTATATATATATATATATATATATATATATATATATATATATATATATATATATATATATATATATATATAGTGCTCAACATTATTGAGTACAACCTATTTTGAGATGAATCGGTGAATATCGGTCATATATAGGTGCATTTCAACAAAACATATTTGGTAAACAAATTTATTTAAAAAAATCATATTCAGGCCCTCGAAAACCTTCAGAAATGTTAAAAAAAACAATACATTTAAATTCATGTGAAATAATGGGAAAGGAAATTACAAAATTACAACTTTCAAAAATGTTTTGTTTTTCTTCCATTTTTCTCTTTTTAAAATCTCATTCAATATTTTTCCCTAAATAAAAATCTAATGTATATGCACAAATATAATGTTGTATAGCTTCTAATAGAAAATATTAATCTTAATGAGAGATTTACGAGGGGTGTACTCATATATGCTGAGCACTGTATGCATGTGTGAGTATATATATATATATATATATATATATATATATATATATATATATATATATATATATATATATATATATATATATATATATATATATATACATGCATACAGAAAAATTATTAGGGACAAATTTTCTGGAACCAGTGCCTCAGACCACTTGTGCAAGTCAATGAAACCATTAATAATTATTTTACTGTAATACTGTAACAGCACTCCACAGTAGACTCTTGGTCCTTTTTTTATAATATTTTATTTACAATATTACTTTATCCTTGTAAAAGTTTCAGATAAATAGATTTACTTACCAGTGGTGAAATGAACTGCTGCACTCTGATCACTATATATCTTCTGACCGTTGTAGTTCGAGCTCATTTTTGCTGTCAGAATGTATTCAGTTTTTGGCTGGAGAAGACTGCCCACGATATCACAGAATCCAACAGTGTTTGCCACCTTTGTGGAATTCTGTAGAAAATGTTTGTTTTTATTTTATTTATAAAAAATCTACATATTGTTGATTTCAGAATTATTAGCCCCCCTTTGGATATTTTTTTCTTTTTTAAATATTTTCCAAATGATGTTTAACAGAGCAAGGACATTTTCACAGCATGTCTGATAATATTTGTTCTTCTGGATACAATGACTATACAGTGACTTGCCTAATTACCCTAACCTGCCTAGTAACCTAATTAACCTAGTTAAGCCTTTAAATGTCTCTTTAAGCTGTATAGAAGTGTCTTGAAAAATATTTAGTCAAAAATATTTACTGTCATCATGGCAAAGATAAAAGAAATCAGTTATTAAAAACGAGTTATTAAAACGATTATGTTTAGAAATGTGTTGAAAAAAAATCTTCTCTCTGTTAAACAGAAATTGGGGGGAAAGTAAACAGGAGGATACTAATTCAGGGGGGCAAATAATTCTGAATTAAATTGTACAAAAGTACAAAAAGATTTTATATGAACTATAAGCCATCTTCCTTACTGTTTCAATTTCTCCTTTGATCCTATAGGTCAGAGTTATAAACAAATTATCTGTAAAGACATTCCTTTGTTCATAGCTATCAACCCAGGTAACATGAAAGTTTCCATTTTCTGTCTTCTTCACAAATAACACTGGAGTTTTTGGTTTGACTGCAGAAAAAAAGCACATTTTAAACACGTCTGTCAATGCTAAACAATTCCTTCTATTTCTTTAAAATGCTAAACAAGCATTTACTCACTATAATCTATAGTCTTGAAATCCCTTTGTAATAAAACCTTTGTTCCCTTGAGAAGTGTAGTGGAGAAGATCTCTTCAGTAATAAAGCCTTCCACTTCAATTTTGCATTCACAAATGGCATTGTGATGACTTCTCTCAAAGACGCATGAATACCTATTTATCCTGGAAGAAACGTTCAGCATGTAAATTTATTACGAAACAAACAGCGCAGTAATAATAGTTACAGAGGAACAACAGGCAAGTACAAACACTCACTCATATGCTAGTTTTTGTGTGACGTTCATATTGTATCCAGAACAATTTCTGAGACTTTCAGAAGAGAAACTGCACGTCATCTCGGCCTCGTAGTCATTAAAACAATTGAAGTCCTTAATGGGATCTGAAGAAAATACAGAGACGGGAAATACAAGATGGGAAAGGGTTAAAAACATGCAACGTTTGAAATTCCATGATAGCACACATATACATCACAGAGACATCTATGTGATGTTCGTGTTTACATGTGGAAGACATTTATTACAGTGCTTGCTCATCTGCAAAATAGGGCTGCACAATATTGGAAAAATTGCACATTGCAATCTTTTTATTATGTGATATAAATTGCGATATGAATACGATTTCACCAGATAAGTTGAAAAACTGTTAGGAAATAATCTATCATTTTAGATTGACTGGGATGATTCTGCAGGGAAGTGCATAAAATATATAATTGTCATAATCACCAGCGATCCATTTCTGATAGATTGCTGGTGAACTTCAGCTGTGTTAAGGAACTACAAATCCTGTCATGCACCTTACACACACACCTGTTTCCGGAACTCTGATGATTGCATGCTCACAGCTGTAGTGATTCATGGACTGATCACATGGACTACTTCTTCACCACACAGGGGCGGATTTAACCACTCAGCCAGTTAAGCGACTGCTTAGGGCCCCAGGAAATCTGGGGGCCCCCAATAAATATCTAAAAGTATAAATTACTCCTATGAACTATGTATAACATTGTGTTCTATCATACTTTGTATAGTGAGAGTTAATCAAACACAATTTTAATGTAATTAAATATTATTTAGTTTACAATCAAATATAATATAAATATAATAATGTAATGTTATGTAATAATAATAATAATAATAATAAAGATAATATTACAAAAATAAAACATGCATGGTGCAATCCAGCAGTCAAACAAAAAAATGTATGCATTATTTTTAATTGAAAATTAATTTTACCGTTAAAAAAAGAATCATTTAAAATGTAGAGATTTCATCAATTTAAAATGTAGAAAAGAAGATGTTGTAACAAAAAGAAATATAAATAAAAATTAAACAAAAGTAGAAAGGGTGCATTTAAGGACTTGGGCCCGTCATAACACAAATGTTAGTTCAGTACAGAGTAATAATGTTGACGTGATGTGTTGATATTTCTTTGTTTTTTTCCTGTTTGTATTTTTGACCAAAGCCTTGTTATATCATTGATCCTCTTTATTTTGACCATTGCCTGGTTTTGTCTATGTTCCTGGATTTTCCTCATTGTACTAGTCTCACCTTTTTTTGATGTTGTTTGCCTGCACAAATCTTTTTAAACTGCGATTGGATCCTTACCTCTGTTGTCCCTCGCCTTGCTCCCGCACAAAGTTTTCATTTAATAAACAAATCAATAAATCTAATCATTTTTGATTTATGATAAGTTGCTATTGCTACATTTTCAAACAGTTACAAATGGTACATGCATGCTTTTAAAACCCCCACACAGTCACAGGCCTCAAAAACACTTGCAAAATGATTAATTATAATCCAGACTCAACATTGAGCATGCTCGCGATGTGACTAGGCATGGGCCGGAATAAGATTCGGACGATTTGATAACCTTGGATTAAAATATCATGGTTTGACAGTATTGTGGTTACTGCTCTAAAGTATGTTCTTTTTAAATGTCTAAATAAAAACAAAAAACTCCCCCCCCCCCCCCCCCCTTTGAACACAATATATTTCATTTTTTATATCATTAAATATTTTGGAACAGTAAACATGTCAGGCTAAATTATTCAAATTAATTTTGACTACTACTGTCTTTATTAGTTAACCTATAATATCGACTCATTAATGTAATATATTTATATTATATATTGATATAATTATATCTAATGTAGCCTAATAAATAGTCCAAGTCATGGAGCAAAACAAAAATTAAATGGAAAAAAAGTTAAATAAAGGTTTACCGTCACAAAGTGCTTGGCAGACGAGTGTGAGGATGATCTGGTAAAGAAATAATGAGGAAGACATCCTATATCCTGCATAAAAACACACAGAATAAATTATACAGAAATAAAATTCACACCAACAAACGGTTATAGACTTAACAAAACATTATCCCTCGCCAAAAATGTAGCACAATATATATTTTCACTGTACCTATAGGTTTCCTCGTTCGCGAAGTAAAACATAAGAAACTTAATTTGCTTCTCTGTCTCACACAAAACGTCCAGACGACCAGTTCAAAATGTGGAAATTTCAGTCTGCTGGCTGCTTCCCTATTCGCAAACGAAACATTGAACTTCATTTAAAAGGGCGTATCGAAGTTTCCTGGAAGACACGCGGACGCGCAGCTGTTCCACTGACTCCAGACCTGCTCGCGCCCGCGCTGTTCTCTCCCTCACACACAGTGATCTCATGCTCACACTGATCTCTAACCTGCTCTTTCACACACTCAGAAAAAAAGGAAAACAGAATTCCACGGAAAGCCGTCATAGTCTGCGTTACAGCCTGTTGTTTGTGAGTTAGTCAAGCGCAAAAGGAAACCATCCGAAAGCACACAGGGCTCCCAAAAACTGGAAGTGTGAAACGCGACAACATTTCAGAGGACTTTTTTTGCAGTTACCTTCACTTCTTTTATAGCTACATAAGAAACTAAGTTAGTTTCTAGTGTCTTCAACACTCGTTTCAGCAGTACAAATGAGATGTAGTTTTTTTATCTGTATTTGGAATAATTTTAACGTTGAATTTGTCTTTTTATCATTTTAATATTTTTTAAATGAATAAATGAATTTTATCCTAGTTTTTATCATTTATTTGTGTGCTAGATTCAGTTATTTTTTGTAGTACAACTATTTTAATTTAATAAATTAATGTAGGTTTCATTTTTAGTACATTTTTTGTAATATTTTGTTTACTCAATGTCGGAACATTTAGTTAACCAAATCAGAAGGACGGACACCCAGAGATCTAAATAGTTTAAATGTATTAATTACGTTAAATAGCCTAATTTAAATGACCCATGTGAGTGTTACTGCAGAATCATATGGCAATGCTGTATGCTGGCTCATTGGTGATGTCTAGTGGATAGAAACGGTATAGTTTTTTGTTTTACTGATCTATTATTCAACGTTAGGTTAGCCTTAAATTTTAAGGAATTCCTTATAAAATCCCATTTTAAAGTGACATCGTCCATTCATTTTCTTTTCGCCTTAGTAACTTTAATAATAAGGGGTCGCCACAGCGGAATGAACCACCAAATTATCCAGCAAATGTTTTACGCTGTGGATGCCCTTTCCAGCTGTAACCTATCACTGGGAAACACTCATACACTCTTGCATTTACCCACATACACACACTATGGCCAATTTAGCTTATTCAATTAGCATGTCTTTGGGGTTGGTGGGGAAACCGGAGCACCTGGAGGAAACCAACGGGGGCATGGGGAGAACATACAAATTCCACACAGATATGCCAACTGACCCAGCTGAGGCTTGAACCAACGAATTTCTTGCTGTAAGGTGACAGCGGTACCCACTGCGCCACTGTGACGCCCCAAAATGACATCAAAAATGTAAAAATGCTGCATTTTTGTTGGGACAACATGAAGGAATTAAGTTAGCTTATCAGTTTTTAAAAATTGAAGTGTATTAAACATAAAACAATTAAGTTCAAAAAATCTCAAGATTTGTGTTTTTTCAGCTCATTTTAAATTTGAAAAGTTTTTAACAAACAGCAAATGTTATTTGTGAGTGTGTGTTCCTCTTTTATCAGTTAATTACATATGTGCAAACCAAAATTAATATCCGCATAATTAATGAGGATCCAGAAATTTAGGTTTATCTTTTTTAATTTTGTTTATTAATTTTAGGCTCAATCCCAAAGAATCTGTGCTTCAGATAAAAAGAAAATCTTCTGTAATACTCTGAAGAATGGTATTTGAGTAAATTAACAGCATTTTTCAAAAAGTGTTACATGGAGAACTGTTGCAAAAATTAAGTTTAATAATGTTCAACTTAATTTGTTTGTTTAAATTCAACACAAATAAATTGTTTACAACCACTTTACGTAAAAAACAAATGAGCAAATCCAAAGAATCATCTCTGTATAATTTTTTTCAGTGTGATGTGCTGCTGTTCAGGATAATAATAATTTGGACTCTGTGAGTGGTGATAATATGTTGAATAATGTTAAACGGATGTATTCCATCATCATTCTCAAATGCTGCCTGTCGTGTTTGCTGATTTGCAGGTCATTATATAAGTCAGTTATCATAATATTTTTTTTAAAACTGGGGCCCCTGAGGGCCAAATAGGAGTGTTAGTTGGTCCGTAAAATAGTTTATTTAATTATATTAATAAATACATTATATTGATATTTTTCTTGCTGGATAAGTTGGCGGTTCATTCCGCTTTGGCGACCCCGGATTAATATAGGGACTAAGTCGACAAGAAAATGAATGAATTAATATTTAATTTTAGTTTAATGCATAATCACTTACAAATAAGTAAAAAAAAAAAGATTAAAATGATTAAAGTAGATTTTGTTAAAATTATTTTTAAACTAAATAAATACAATACTATATCATGAGTACAACAATGTGATGTTGACTTAATCTAAACTAAAAAAAATTTTTCTACAAATAATATTTAACAAGTATGAAACTACATGAACTATATGCATTTATCTATTACTGTATACGTAGGCTGGTGTCTTTTAGGAAATGTACAAAAGAAAGGCAAGAAATGATGACCCAACAGATGAGTAAATATCACAAGTAGCATGTGCCGAAAAACAAAAAAGAAATGCTTCCTGGAATTTTAAGGGAAACTTTAAAAAACTACAAGACTCAACAAAGGGAAAAAAAATTGTACAGAAGGGGCAGTAATGCAACAAAAAGGACGCCATCTGCCATTGAGGACTCAAAGAAGAAGAAGAAGAAGAAGAACGCATACCACGTGGCCGGAAGTGTTTCTAGTGGGAACCCGCGAATATTACACGAACTGACAGCTCGTCTGTACATTTAAAAACAAAGGTTTGTATATGAGAAACAAACGTCGCTTTACTCGAAACACTTTCGTCTTTCTTCAAGTGTTCTGTCGTTTTATTTTATTTCAAATTTCGCATTGAGTTACAAATGTTACCATACAAAAATATAGTACATGTGTAGTACTTTTAAAATGTTTTTTAAAAAATACCACAGTGTTTTTGAACCGAACTATAGTGAAGAGTATTATACTTATATATTATAGTATATAATTAAAAGTCTTTAAAATGAAGGCTAGCTACTTATAAATAATAAATACTGTAACATTAGTATAATGTTACGTTACTTAAGATTTTACTACACTAAACTGTGGTGTATTGTAACTTAGTGGTAACGTCAAATAACATGCCACATTGTTGTAGAAAACAGTGTAACGTTATTTAGGGCTGCTCGATTTTGGGAAAAATCTTAATCACAATTATTTTGACCTTTATTGTAATCACGATTATTCAAAACGATTATCAGTTGAAGTCAAAATTATTAGCGCTCCTGAGAATTGAAAAAAAAAAATTCCTAAATGATGTTTAACAGAGCAAGGAATTTTACAGTGTTTCCTCTAATATTTTTTTCTTCTGGAGAAAGGCTTATGTGTTTTATTTTAGCTAGAATAAAAGCAGGTTTAAATATTTTGAAACCCATTTTAAGGTCAATATTATTAGCCCCCTAAGCAACATTTTTTTGATTGTCTGTAGAAGAATCTACTGTTAAACAATGACTTGCCTAATTACCCTAATTAAGCCTTTGAATTGCACTTTTACCTGAATGCTTGTATTTTGAAAAATGTCTAGTAGAATATTATGTTCTGTCATCTTAGCAAAGATTAAAGAAATCAGTCATTAGAAATGAGATATGAAAACTATTATGTTTAAAAATAAGTTGGAAAAAAACTTCTTTCCATAAATCAAAAATTGGGGGGAAAAGGGTTTCTAATATTGAGGAGGGCTAACAATTCTGACTTCAACTGTGTGTGTGTGTGTGTGTGTGTGTATATATATATATATATATATATATATATATATATATATATATATAAATATATATATATATATATATATATATATATAGTTATTTTCCAACCTTCAAAGGAAAGAGAAATAAATACAATAGAATAAAAATATGAAACCAACTTTGCTTTAAGCATCTTCACTGTAAGAAAAAAACTTTATCTACAAAAGTCCTTCAGTCAACAGCAGTAGTGGATTTTCTCCTTGTTGTTTTATTAATAATGATAAAAACAGGCGGCACAAGGAATATCGCTCTGTCACTTTAATGGTTTCTCTTTCACGTGTCTTTTGATTCCCAACTCATTTGTTTATTACACAAATGAGGGTTAATATGAATAATCACTCTGCGTTTTGACACCTATTTGACCATTAAAGCGCTCACGTTAATGACTTAAGACGTGTGCGCTCTGCTCGTCTCAGTGTACGGATGAGACGAATGCTGACCGCATGCTTCTGACTGTGTGTGCGCTGCACAAACACACACATAAGCACACAGTCTTTCGACTTTTAATGTGTACAACTGGAAAGGCGGCGGTATATGATGCAATAATCGATTATCTCGATTAATGGTTCATTATAATCGTTAGAAGCCAAAATCGAAATCGTATTTTCAATTAATTGCACAGCCCTAACGTTATTTGATAATTTGTTTATATCACCAAAGGTGTTGTGTTACCACAGCAGATTAATTCTGCTAAATAATGTAAAGTGCTTTACTATAGTACGGGTTCCCATATTTTGTGATTTGTGTATTTATTTATTTTTTATTATTTATGCTTTTGAGTTGCATTGTGAGACCTTGATCTTTCTTCTCATCACTTTTAACCTTAAAAAGGTGGAAAAAGTGACTTTTTTAAATGCTTTTAATAGTTAAAAGTTAGATATTGTCTAGTTGTCTGTTATTTTACAGGTTTATTTCTCTATATTATTTTTTATGTTATATTATTTTAAACTACTCAAATGTCAATAAAAGTTTTATGTTGGTATATCATGTAGGTTTACTTGTTTTATGTCGATTTGAGCTCATGTTTGCTTGAGTTTGGGAAATTTAGCTTATCTACACATGTGTTTTCCAGCTGAAAAGGACATTTAGCAGTCATGTCTAGACAGATGGGTGACGGACATAGGCTGTTCCTGCAGAACATGATGACCAACGGCATCGTCAGTGCAGCTCAGGCTGGAATGCTCCACAAGAAGTGCTGCGAGCTCCATGGAGGTATGAAGAAAACACTTGCGCTGATAGGGATAGAGTTAACCCAAAAATGAAAATCCTGTCATCATTTCAAACCAGTTTGAGTTTTTTTTGTTCAGTTGTACACAAAAGTGGTGAAGCAATGGCGCAGTAGGTAGTACTGTCGCCTCACAGCAAGAAGGTTGCTGGGTCGCTGGTTCGAGCCTTGGCTCAGTTGGCATTTTTGTGTGGAGTTTGCATATTCTCCCTGCGTTCGCGTGGGTTTCCTCCAGGTGCTCCAGTTTCCCCGACTGTCCAAAGACATGTGGTACAGGTGAATTGGGTAGACTAAATTGTCCGTAGTGTATGAGTGTGTGTGAATGTGTGTGTGGATGTTTCCTAGAGATGGGTTGCGGCTGGAAGGGCATCCGCTGCTAAAAACTTGCTGGATAATTTGGCGATTCATTCCGCTGTGGCGACCCTGGATTAATAAAGGGACTAAGCCGACAAGAAAATGAATGAATGAATGAAATGCTCATTAAGAGTTACACTTTTTGCTGGAGGAAACAGCTGTGGTGACGCAAGGCAAGTTTATTTATATAGCAGATTATAACGCAGAGAAAACCCGACTGCTCCTCCGTGACATTGAGATAAAGGTGATACAAGGTTATCTATATCAAAGAACCTCAAATAAGCGGATATTATAACAATTTATCAATAAACACACACCTCATTTTCTCGCTGTCCACTCCTGTGATTTGCTGATCAAATGAAAAACAAAAGACAGGGAGGAGATAAATTCTGCCGCCATTTTCATATCAAATTTAAAAGGGTACTGAGGCGATAATTTAGTGTAGTTTATGAGCTAATTTCAAAAGTTTTAGGGGGGCTGACTAAAAATATAGGAGGGTTACAGCCCCCTTAAAATAGGCCTAGCAACGCCCATGGTTGTTTCTATGCCTCATAGCTGCAAACTGAATATCAGCTACTGTATTTAGATACGAGTGCTCTCTTTAAATTCTGTTTCTCTGTTGTATTCTAGGGCAAGAAAAAATTGATGATTTCATCAATGTTGTCAACACTCACCTTCAGCCCCTCTTTATGCATATTCGTAAAGGGATGTCGGAGGAGGATGGCCAGGAACATTTTGTTTTGGTTTGTTAAATCTAAAATACATTTATGTTTAAGGAGAGGTGTTTTTATGTTTTCTAGTGTCTACTCAGTAAATGTGTTAGATATTAATTTTGATTATTGTTTTTGCATACTACTAATATATAATAGTAAAATGACATATGTGTTTGATTTATATTAAGTTAAAACCTAATCTGTTGTTCAGGTAAATATGGCAGAGACCGACATTACACGAATGGCTGCTGATTATGCGGAGAACGAGTTGGAGTTGTTCAGAAAAATAGTAAATACTTATAATATTTGTCAAATACTATTTTATATATTAATATACAAATATTAGTGCATATTGAATACATTTTAAAATTGTATTTTTTTTTTTTGTGATGCAGAAAATAAGTTCTAGTTTGGCATTATTACTTCAGCCTTTAGAGTCACAAGATCCATCACATTATTTTAATACTGATTTGCTGTTCAGTATTGTTATTAGTAGTATTCTAAGTGTTAAAAATTTAATGTTTAATTTTTAATAACTGTGCAGCAAATCCATGTAATTTAACTATTGGAAAGATTCATTTTTAACTGCTGACTATTAATTTATTATTCACAGTTCACAAAATGCATTTTGTATGTAGAATTACTTATTACAAACCTATTTTATTATGGTATAGTATATCTTGTCTCGGCAGTCTGCAGCAAATTGTGGAAATTTGAGTCTGATCTTAGAACTGTTTCTGAATGATCATGTGATACTGGAACTGGGAACTGAATGAAATTTAGCGCTGCCATCACAGAAATAAATTACATTTTAAAATACATTTAAATAGAAAACATTTAAAAAAAAAACATAAAAAACGTTGGTCATTGAATAAATGGTTTCTAATGATTTCCTGTTTTGTCTTTATTCAGATGGATCTGATTGTGGAGTCTGATTCCGGTTCTGCCTCATCCACAGCAATTCTAAATTCTGCTGACAAGCTGATCTCAAAGAAATTAAAGAAGAAAGAAGCAGAGCTAGTCTTAAATAAATTTGTACAAGACAAATGGTTAAAAGAGGTACACTTTATTATTTTTATATATATATATATATATATATATATATATATATATATATATATATATATATATATATATATATATATATGGACAATATCACATGAGTAGCAGTGCGATATGGCTCTATAACGGCACTTGTGGGAGACATGTGTTGGCTCAAGGCCACAAGCCGAGTGCTTTAGTGTCAATATACAGCTATATTGCACTGCTACGAGTGTAATATTGCAATTATACAACAGTTTGACAGCATAATTATGTATATAAAAGAAAAAAATTAAACACGGAGAGTCTCATAAATCCTTTTGTATGAAGAACGTCTTTTCTTCTGCCATTTAATCAGATCTGCAGCATCAGAACCATTGCTGCTTCACAAAGGTCACTTGAGTTAGTGTTTGAACGATTCTCTAGCGTAATGTCTAAAGTGATGACTAAACAGTTGATTTTGCTAATATTTTAAGATTATAAAGCTGAACGCATTAAATGCCATCAGTCTACAGAGATTTCCCAATATCAGCACTACAAGATACAAAAGAGAGAGATTGACTTAATGTCACTTACCAGTTTTATTGCCGTGTTATTGTTTAGTCAAATTTGATAAGCTGTGGTTTGAAATTTATGCTGAGTTTTTCTCATCTAAGGGCTTATTATGCAGTCTCTGTCGCCATGTTGTGGTGGAACGTCAACTGTCTTTGCTCTGCTCAGTATGACAGGCGAACATGCTGAATCTCTGAAATTATAAATATTTAAAACAGGCACTTTACTTTTAAACTGCATAGTTGTAATCTAAAAAACTACATTCTCGCTTAAAAAGCTTCAAAAGTACATTATGTTGTCCAACAGCTGCAATATTTGTCACACTGTAGTGAGTTTATTCATCTGCTGTCCCTGTATGTGGGCGGAGTAATATACTCCGTAATATATAATATAGCCTAAGTATATTATATAATAATATACTTAGTAATATATATATAGGCTGTGTAGGAGCCATACAGTATATATTGCCGATTAGCCACAAGGTGTCAGTACCAGACTATATAACTGTGGCTTCACTGCATGGGGGAAGAGAGCGTTGGTTGGAAGCACACAGTTTTTGACCGTAACTTAATGTAATGTAACTTAAAGTAACAGAGAAGTGTGCATAATAGATTAAGGAAAATTGATGAAGGAATTCTGTTAATTGAAAAATTAAGACGTTGTTATTTGCATCTATTTTGACTACAGACTCTGACTTTTACGCATAAAAAAACTTGCTTGCTCTACCAACATTAGCGGCAATGGAGAGCTACTACAGGCTGTACTAGTGCTGTTATTACGGGAATATTGTATGGCTGTCATCCAATCAAATTTGAGAAGCAGACAGAACTGTTTTATATATATATAGAAAAATATGAACCGTCATTAAGGCACAAACAACTAAAGTAAGCTATTAAAAATTAGTTATTAATACCATTAAATGTTAAAAATTCTCTGCATTAAAAAGCAGTGAGGAATTATTTGAAGAAGATTTACAGTGTCATGGGAGAGCTAATCATTTTGATCTGTACATGTTTTACAGTTTCTATTGTATTTAAATTTATATTTGGCAACAAGTCGCTCTTTTTTCAAAAGCATTATTTTTGTTCTGCTTTTTTCTGCATTAGCAAGATGGTGAGTACACTCTAAGTGTTCGCTGCATTGTGGAAATGGAGCCATATATGCGCACAATTTACCAGGACATGATCAAAGTGTGCTACGTGTGCCACAACATCGCCCTACAGGTAATAAACGAGTAAAGATCATGAACCTTCATTCATGACAAAAAAACAGGCATAAGATTATTTGATTTTTAATTCCAGACATCATTAAAGAACAGTACATGCTTAGTGATTGTTTTTATGTCATACTGTTTCTTGCTTAATAGTGTACTATTATCACTTACACTACATTCAGTGAAATTTATACTGTATTTGTGTAGACCTAGTGACACAAAAGTTACACACTTTTATGCCATTTTCAGACATGCCAAACAAAATGCTTTTCTTTCAGTGCCAGGTATGTGAAAATCCATCATGTGAAATCAAGGTGCACCTTCCCTGTGTCGCTCGATATTTCAGAGCACGCAGTGATCCTCATTGCCCTGCATGCAATGATTTCTGGCCTCATGAGATTCCAGGTGAGTTGTTTTCATTAATGGCTCATTTCCACTGAGTGGTACTGTTCAGTACTGTACAAAACAAATTCATGTTCAATTCCACTGTCAAAGGTAACAAAATAGTGAACTGCGTCATACCACTTTTTTTGCCCCTCTTTCGTAGGGGTACCTAGCACGACAGTACAGTACCAAAAGGGAGAAGCTAGACTCACAGCTGAATGCTATTGGTTACAGAAAATTGTCACTTACGTGTGTAAAAACACAAGGAAACACATGAATTGACCTTTTTAAATACACATTTGAAACATGACACTGTAATAATATAGTGAATCATACTAAAGTATGATTCTTAATCATACTAAAAAAATGCTTGTCGACTTGTGACAAATGGCCACATGCCAGGAAGCAAGAACAGAATCTACTGTACAGTGTTACTTCCAAACCATAATACATTACAGAATCAGATTACTTGTTAGTGTTATTCAGGGGCGTAGAATTGGCATGGATGTAGGGTGCTTGTCCTCACCAATATCCACCAACCATTAAAATGTCCCCACTAATAATTTAATTAATTCTAAAATGCGATGTCAACATTAACCTAGACATGCAGAAAGGGTTAAATCACGTTCTCTACTCAAGTCACACCACCCCTAAACGCATACAAACACTGCAATTGACAACAGCGCCAAAAACTGTGGAGGAATTTTCCTATTCAGGAATAAGGTGTGTGAGGTGATGGACACTGAAGTGAGGATGGCACAAAAAAAGAGAGAAGGTGGACAATAGCCCCTTTCACACAGTGATACCGGTAAATATCCGGAAAATTTCCGGAACGACTTTACCGGTATATTCAAAAAAGCGCTGTTCACACAGGCGAGGACGTTACGGAAATTTTCCGGAAAAGAGCATTCACACATCTATTCCAAAATACCGGTAAATTCTGACATCATTAACCAGAAATGAGCTTTAAACGGCTGCGCTTGTATTTGTAAACATTTGACTAAATTACAAACTCTGTGGATAATCAGTATTGTGACCAACTTTCGCAGGATCACTTTCGCATGTCGAGATGTTTATAATATGTGCGTGTGCAGGCGCTCACAGGCTGTTTCGCAGGCACACGCAAAGCTTGAAGGTAAACAAACAACGGCTTGTCATAAGCATCTCATCGATGATTATTTACACAGTTGGCATTAAGAAGAACATATAAACGTGATCTGACTAACTTCTAGCAGCTAAATGTGTCTGGAAAAATATTCAAAGGCTTTTATTCTCATAAACCGCGCGGACGTAAATGCATCTGACAGTTGTGATTGGCTAAAGCAAACGTCTCACGTCAGCACGTTCTAGATGTGCACGCGCTTATTCAGACAATCATCCTTCTGCGTTCACACAGCGCAGCATTCCGGCAAATGGCCGGTAATGTTACAACTTCTCTTTCCGGAAAATAGCCAGAACGAATTTACCGGTATTTTCAAAAAGTACCTGTTCACACATACAACCTTTCCGGAAAATTGCCGGTAATTTTCCGGAAAGGTCTGTATGTGTGAAAGGGGCTATTAAGTGGACATTTCAAAGAAAAATGGTTTCATTTGCATTATGGCTAAAATAAACGGAAGTCTAACCTCTATCTGCAGTTAGGCTATTAAACATTCCTATTACGTTAAACTATTCCTTAATTTAACTTAATGAGTTGTATTAAGAGTAGATTAAAATAAGTAAATAAATAAAATTGCATTGCTAGTATTAATGCATTAAATTTATCAAAGTGGGTTTTTTTGTCCCTATTAGGCATGGGTCGATATATAATTCTGGCGATACGATAACCTTGGACAAAAATATCACGGTTTCACAATATTGTAATTAATGTCTGTTTCATGATTTTTTTTTATGTCTGGGTAAAAAAACAACTTTTTTTCCTCTTTGATCACAATATATTTTATTTTGTGAAATATTTATAATTTTTTGTAACCGTAAACATGTCAGGCTAAATAATTTAAATAAATCATTGACTTCTGCTGTCTTCACTAGTTTTGAAAACCAGTGTTAGTTTTTTTTTGTTATTTGTTTAAAATGGCATCTTTGGATATCTTTTCTGCTAGAGATACTGTTGTCCTAAAAAACAAACAAAAAAACATCTAAAAAATCGTACATATGCTGTAGGAACTTCATAGCAAAAAAACATTGGCGGTTTTAAAACTTTTCAGAAACACTTTTCCAAACCGCGGTATACCTTGAAAGTGGTTATTGTCCCATGCCTAGTCCCCACCTCTGTTATTTAAAAATAATCCTTCACTTTACAATATTGAAGTGTCAGAATTGTAATGGGCTACAATTCTTCTGCGTTGCTTTCCCTTAAATAACTGCACTTTAAAAAACGCACAATTCATTCATGTTGCTCTAACACAAATCGATTAAGTCAACTAATTGTTTCTAAAAATGTAAGTGGAATTAACCTAAAACAATTAAGTTGTCTAAAAATATTTTCCTTTTACACTTAAAAAGGGGTGAAAGGGTCGGACTTAGTGACCAGGCAAATTATCAGTACCAAACCAGTCGAGATGTTTGACTGTCTGTCAACACAAGCATCATTCTGTTTCAAGCAAGTTACTAAGTCAGCAAAACATTTAAATGGACTCTTCCTATTTTATATGCAGTGTTGGGCAAGCTACTTGAAAAAAAGCTATTAGCTACTCTACTTAAAATGTAGCTTAACTACACTAAAAGCTACCCCCTGGGAAATGTAGCAAGCTAAGCCTTAAAGCAACAAGGCAAAGGTAGCTTAGCTACATCCAAGCTATTTTTGAAATTTTTATTTTTGAAATTAAAGCAACTTAAATCCAAGTCAATCATATCTTAGTGATCAATAAAACTGTCAATGAAACATATGAGGCATAATAGTGAAGTTCAGTTATTTACTGTAAATAGTATGTATTAGTAACAGAAACAAATTATAGTATAACAGCTAAAACAAAAAATCCAATAAAACCAGTGTTACACATTTAAAATACTATAGTAAAGGGAATTTTTTGGAATAATATATATATATATATATATATATATATATATATATATATATATATATATATATATATATATATATATATATATATTTATTTTTATTTTTATTATTTATTTTTTATTTATATTTATATATATAAATATAAGTTATTGCATCTTAACATGTACTTCTCGAGGTATGATCACGAGGAATCCTGCTTCAGAAATAACTCCTCTCCCTCAGTCAGTTCCATTAAGCAAGTTTCGGTTGACGACATTGCCAACCAGAGGTGGCAGTAATGCACTAAAAAGTTTGTTGTCGAACACCGTAAAACAGGAAGAAGAAGAATTCCTCATTCTAGCCATTATATGGATTTACTATCACCGGCTACACATCGGCCTCACTGCTCCGTGAATGTCGGTGCCGTCTCTTATTGATCCGCATTCTGTAAATGTAGCTTGTGTGAATGCTACTGCGCTATGTGACTAATAAAATAGCTTCACTAACTGTTACTGAACAGCTATTAGATTTAGAAAGTAGCGACGCTACCGCCAAGCTACTGAGAAATGTAGTTGACCTGTGTGACGCTACTGCCCAACACTGTTTACATGTATGTAGTAGTGTTTGCTATAAACAATATATCTGTGCAAATGTTTGTTGCCCTCATAATCTTTAATCAAATACCATACATAACCTTCCCCCCAGAAAAGATTTTTCTTTTAGTCCCATGGAATGCTTTTAGGGCGTGCTATCAGTGCATTACTGTGTGTTCACACTAAAGGCGGCAAGAGCGTCAAAGTAGCCGGAAGTCATTACTTTTCTATGGGAGCTGGCGGTGAAAAGCATTGAGGAGAGTTGAAATCAGGTCAACTTTATGGTAATGAGCTATGACATGGTTAGGCAGCAAGCAGTCAGAATGTAGAAGTCCACCGCTTGTCAGGATTCCAGAAAACACAGTCCTGTAAACTTTGCTTTCGACTACAGTTGTTCTCAAGGGTTTAAATATTGCGGTCGCCAGATTTCCAGTTAATTGCGATGTTTTCTTAAAGGACATAAGTGAAAAAAGGTTACTGGCAAGTTACTGATGTGCATTAATGTTCGTTCATTCATTTTCTTTTTAGCTTAGTCCCTTTATTAACCTGGGGTCGCCACAGCGGAATGAACCACCAACTTATCCCGCATATGTTTTACGCAGGGAATGCCCTTCCCCCTGCAACCCATCACTGGGAAACATCCATACACACCTATTCAGACACATACACTACGGAAAATTTAGCTTACCCAATTCACATGTTTTTGGACTTGTGGGGGAAACTGGATCACCCAGAGGTAACCCACGCAAACATGTGGAGAACATGCAGACTTCACACAGAAACGGCAACTGACCCAGCCAGGAATCGAACCAGCGACCTTTTTGCTGTGAGGCAATTATGCTATCCACTGTGCCCCCGTGCTACCTGCATTCATGTTATATATGTTTTTTTTTAAAGCAGGAATCTCATGCTAACTATAATGACAGTACAAAACAGCTGCTTCAGAATATTTTAGACATATGGGCACATATTGGATAGGTGGAGCAAAGCCACACTACACACAACAACTTAATCTTCCATAGTTAAATGAATTTGATAAAAGGCCAGCAACATTTTTTTGCTAGAAAGCACTGTTTTTATGAGGGAATGTAAGTGATTTGCTAATACGCTGCAACAGCCCCTTTAAATGCGAGATCAATGAAGCGAATTTTGATGCTCTTGCCGGCGAACCAGGGAAGGCAGACACCATTGTCGCCAGGGCGGCCAGAACAAACTTTGACACTCTTGCTGCCTTCAGTGTGAACGCACAGTTAGGATGGGGCTGTTAGTGCTTTAGGGCAGGGTTATTCTTCTTTAGAGTGGGACAATCAGTGGTTTAGTGCAGTTGTTCATTTTTGCCCTGCCTTCATGTTAGGCAGCGGTTGTAATAAATTTATTTGTATTTGTCTGTAAAATGTAGCTTTTTGATTTGTCATCAATGGATATTTGAGAACATTCTGCACCAGAGGTTGCATGTCAATAGTGATTCCGGTGGACAGTAATACTCCACAAACATACAAATGCAGTGTTTACTCTAGGATTCCTCTGTTGGGCATTTTACACAGATCTACCACTACATGTGGTGTTATTTTATTGACAAATGTCGTGGATGCAGTATTGTCGAGATTGTATTTATGGAATAGCCTACGAGCATGTCAATCTCTGCTCGAGCGCCGATTTCCTCTGTTCAACACAAAACTTCTTGCGCGACCTCAACTATACGCTGCTCCGCAGATTTTCTTGCCACCCTCAAATAAACGCTGCTGAAGTGTGATTTACTGCGTTTATGTAGTGAGTATGTCTCCAACATTTATTAGATTTTTATTAAGAATATTTATGAATTTCTCCGACAGACTTAGGCCCCGTTTACACTAGTGCGTTTTAGTTTTAAAACGGCGTTTTAGAATGAAAACGATCCGCGTCCACACTCGCGTTTTACCCAGCGTTTCTGAACTGCTCTCCGTCCACACCAAAACGCTGAAAACGCACATCACGTGACCACACACACACACTTTGGCAATCGCTGGAGCCCATCTACCCAGATGAGAGCTCTGCTAGTCGGACTTCTCATCATGCATCTCTCGCTGGATCTAATCTCACTATATTTATTAAACGTGATATTTCATTCATCTTGTTGTCTTTATCTAACGACATATTCCCTGACTTTGGTCATTGGAATCTATTACTTGTTCTCAGGTAACGTGTTTTGGCTGAGCGCAAAGATAAGTTAATGATTAATGTAACCACGTACATTCTGTATATTGACTGATCGCTTGCCTTTATTTCCTATAATGTATAAACTTATTGTATGTTATACTTTTATAATGGCCATTATCGATTATTAAAACTGATATTCAGCAAAAGAGAGGCTGTGTTTCGTATTTTCACTGAAATTGAAAGGAGGCAGTTGTTATCGGCTCCGTTTTGTTATAAATATGCACACAGTGAAGATGACGCTCATGCAGCATGATGCCTTAACATTTCTGCTGTCTAAGTTGCTAATATTAAAATGAAAATAGGCAGTTCCTTATATTAAGTTTACATTTTATTGTTGAGAAAGTGAAACAACGTAGCCAAGGTGATGTGAATGAAGTTATAAAGTACACTGTTCCCTGTGAAGATTGACGCGTGTCCTCGGTATGTTTTCCATATCAAACTGAGAAGAAGAGATGCAGCCTTGATCAAACTTGCGAAGTCTGAACTTACACGGAGAAGATTCTGGACTGAACTGTGTGTTAGGCTACTTAATATTGAGGAAAAGCCCCAATCAGAGAGCCGAATGTCTGCAGCCCCGCCTCCGTTTTCAGATGTCTCCGTCTTTCCCCATCCACACTGAGACTGAGCAGCAGCGTTTTAGAATGAAAACGGCCTCTCCAGCGTTTTCGAAAAGCTCCGTTTTCGGCGGTCGAGAACTCCGGCGTAGTGTGGACGGATGGCGTAACCGTAGCAAAACTTATGCGTTTTCAAACTAAAACGCATTAGTGTAAACGGGGCCTTACAGAGCGGCATTAATGCGTCCTGAAGTAAAGTGAAACGGCTATAAACTCCAGCAAGATAAAGTCATTGTATGCAAAACCACAGACTTTTATCTGTAAATAAAGTATAATTATGAAAACTGTGTTCATCATAACTGAAAGCTACGCCGTGTTTGCTGGCCTTGTGCATCACGCAGCTGTCAGTCAGTCAGTCAGCACGTCACCTTAAAGGGTTAAACAGAACACACAGCACTACTACAGTTACAGAAAAGTTTGCGCTGTTATAATTCATTTACCTTTTAATACGTTTTTGGTGCAGTTATTACCCGCTATTTAAGAAACGACCAGATGTTTTGAATGAGAAGCTGTAGCCGTGGCGGGATGAATTTTATTGTGGCGCAACGCCACGGATGAATGAATGTAGCGGAAACCATGAACTGGCATTCAACTCTTCCTCCAATTTGTCAGCAACACCATTTTGTCTTTCAATGATCCAGTCATTTCCTAAACTCTGAAATGCACTGCCCAACTTTTTTTTTCTCAATTCAGAAAACTATTTCAATCGGATGTGTCACAATAAAGAAAAATGGACAAACTTCAAACTTATTTCAAAGAACATTACTAATACTGATTACACATTAAACATTAGCTGGCCCAATCTAGTTTGTGTTGCAGTAAAATTATAGTAGTGCTGAGCCATCACGGTTGAGTAAGTCAAAAAGAACATCAGTTATAAATGACAAAGTGTGTGTTGCCTGCCATTGTGTGTGTGTGTGTGTGTTATTGTGCTGTTAGTAACATTTAGACATTAAAACACTGCGCATGATTGAAAATCTCAGCAGATGTTTTCATTTTTATTTGCTGTTGACATTTTTATAACTTGTCTCTAATTTCATTATTAGTATTTATTTTCAGCTCTCTGCTTTGGGTTCACCTTTGGGCCGGTCTAGCCTATATAGCTTTTACCTTACAATTACTTGACACACAATTTATTTTTACAATTTATCACACCTCTTTGTGATATGAATATCGCATATACTTCTATCACTACTATATATTTTTTAAATATATTGTGCAGCCTACATTTGTGTGAGTTTGTGCTTTATTTTATGAACAAATCTTTATCGCAATTTTGCCTTTATGTGAAGTACACATATGCTTACGTCAAGTGTTTTCAGGGATTTTTTTTCTTCTTATTTGCAGAAATGCAGGCCCCACAGTCACAGAGTTCACAAAACCTGCCTTCCTCATCCAAAGAGAACACTGCGCCCACACAGACACGCCGGTCAAGACGAGTGTAGCTGATTCAATGCTACTGCTGGCTTTTTTTTTTTTTTTTTTTTTTACAAGTGCTTTTTGTCTTAAGAGTTCAGGATTGTTTGTTCTATTTTTCTATTAAAATATATAGAAGCAGTTTGTTTCTTAATTTCACATTATTTTTTTATTGGAATTCATTTTAACTGAAATGTTATTCAAATTTATTTTAAATGTTATCAGCACATTTGTACAGTTGCTAAGATTAAAAAGGTTTTGCTAGCACTTTATTTTGTACGGTCCCTATATCAAATTTTGCTGATTTAAGTCTGCGATTGTTAGAATATTAGTGAACTTTCATTGCATTTCAAGCATTCATTAGTGGATGAAGAAACATGAATGTGTTTTACAGGATTTATTAAGATTTGATACTGTTGTAAGTTTGGGGTAAAAGTAGAGTTGGTGTAAGTTGACACATTCTTGCAAAGGTTTGTATATTAGTAATAGTAATACAGAAACATGTGTAGTAATGTGTGTCGGTGGAGCAGTATCAGCAGATTTGTAACTACTTATACTCTGACAATTAGTTGGCATTAACTTGCGGCGAACAAAATGTGCAATAGGAACCATCAAAATAAAGTAATAGCAAAATTACTGAGAAGCGTGTTGTTTAACCATTCAGTTGTAAAAATAAAGAATTGCTTAATACTATTGCTTCATCCTTTTTCTACATTTGTGAATAAGATGCTTCCTCCAGTTTTGAACAAAGTGTTGCAACTAACTGGGTGGGTGACAACTCAGTTCTGTTCATGGAACTAGTGGAGATTAGAAACAAGTAAAAAAAAAACAACAACGAATAAAAGAAGCAATGCTTCCTTGAAATTAACACTTAAAGGAACTTTGTACTGTTTTAGGAATAGGCTTATTTTACAATTTACCTATGGTCAAACATCATTTAATTTTATTAGACCATTAGCATCTTACTCATAAAGAAAAGGTGAAATGAGTGTAGTTACCTCAGAATTTACTAAAGGTTAATTCTACTCATTTGAAAAGAGTTTTGAAAGAGTTTTGAAGATAATGAGTTAATTAAATACCTCATTAATTCAACTTAAATGGAATAAGTTCACAGATTAGTTTATTGTAACTCCAATGGTTTGTAGTGGTTTCCTCAAACGGTTTGAGTTGCCTTAACTTCTTGGGTTTTACAGTCTTCAGCTGGTTTGAGTTCTCTTCATTTATTGGGGTTTACTGTGCTCAAATTGCTTCATTTACTCAAATGGATTAAGTTCAAAGAACTCATTAAGATTAGTTTTTAAACTTAAATGGTTTGTTGCAATGGGTTTCCTCAAATGGTTTGTGTTACCTTAACTTTTTTGGGTTTTAAAGTTTACCTCTTCTGTAGTTACATTATGTACTAAGACTGGAAAATTAAAAGTTGACTTGAAAATCCAAATCAGCTGAAAGGTTTTAAAAATGGTAAAACTCAGCAGTTTAACTCTATGGGTTGTTGTAAAAGTTTATTTTTTATTTTTTTAGAGGGGGGAGTGTTCTTTTAAATCTACGTCACCTAAATTAAATTAGGATAATTTAGCATATTTAGCATTTATACTAGAGGGAACATTTTAACAGGACTTGTTCCCTAAGGTTTTGTATGCTAAATAGTAATAATAATAAATAACACTAAAAAACATTTATCGGCCTGGCACAGTATTAAATTTCATTATCAAATCAAATCCTTTTTCACTTGCCCTATCAAAAATAATTTAAGTTTAATGATAAAATAACAATTTAGTCAATTTGTATCAATTTTCAAATATTTACAAACCCTAAACACTTATCAAGAACAGAGCAAAACAGTGGTCAGGTCAGTGTCCTCAGCAGTTACTGTAATAAAAGTAATTAAATGCTCCTTTTAATTAAGAAGTTAAAAGTTGAATTGAGGTGGATTGTTGGTGATTGTATGGGTGTTAATGGCTTACATGAACAAAGGATAATCAAGACTTGTTAAAAAAATTGAAGACCTACAACACAATACTTCAGTAGATTGAAGACTTTCCAAGGGCCTAACATTTAGCTTTTGAGATTTAAGAGACTTTAAGACCTTGCAAATAAATACCGAAAATGGTGCAGGATAAGTGTGTGTGGTCCACTTTTATTCATAATGATATTTTCTTCCAGGTTTGTTCAGGAGTTGAAAATGTTTTTGAACTGAAATGTTCAATTCAGGTTTATTTGTGTAACACTTTTCACAACAACCATTGATTCAAAGCAGCTTTACAAAAGAAAAATCTAACATTTAAATTCAGAAAAGTATGCAATACTTACCATAACTTTATTAGTTACTAATAACTCTAATCAACTAGTAACAGAGTTATTATATGTAAACATAATAACCAACTAAATGTTGATGATCACTTAGTATTGTTTATACAAACATCTCTGGGGGCATAACAAGTAAAAAAAAAAGTAATGTTTTCATTTAAAATGAAGAAAGTCATGAAAAAACAAATTTGAGGAATTGTACACATTTTACAATAAGGTTAAATTTATTACTATAATTTTTGTCTTTCACACTACAAAACATTAAAAGTTTAGATGCAAAAACTTCCAAATGCCGTCTGAAAAATTCTTCTAAAAAAACTGTAGGTTCAGTAATATCACTTTTAGTGGCAAAGGATGTCCTTTAAATTAAAATAACAGCATAAACAAAGGAGGCTGAGAAAATATGTTCATTTTTGATGGAAATATGAACTTGTCACATATTTTTAATTGTTTCAATATGAAATTCCAACACTACACTACTTTTTACTTTTATTTTTGTTATCTGTAAATGGTATGTAATTCACTTACTTTGTAGCTTACATTAGTGGATTAAGAAACATGACAATGTGCTTTTACAGGATTTATTAAGATTTGATACTATTTTAAGCTTGGAGTTAAAGTACAGTTGATGTAAGATGTTGACATGTACTTGCAAAGTTTTATATATTAGTAATAGTAATACAGTAATATGTGTAGTAATGTGTGTTGGTGGAGCTGTTTTAACAGTCTACTAATACTAGAATTTGCTGGCATATAGTTTAACTTAAAGCCAGCAAAATGTGCAGTACGTGTATCGGTACATTCTAAGATCAACATTAACAAATACTGTAGAAATAGTTTTGTTAGTTCACGACCTTATTTTAAACTGATACGCAGTATTTTTTAAATGCATGATCCATTAACATTTTAGTGCAAAATTATTCAGTATTTGTTAATTTTTTTTTGTTAATGAAAATAAAAGAGCTGTACAGTTACATCTACATTTTATAGATGTAGGGCAAACTCACACTATATACAGTTGCCATGAACCGGGCCAAAGCACGCTTATCCTCCCTCCCGTCTCCCCCGATGGCCCACACTTATATTTCTTTCGAACCTGGAAACGCTTACGTCATCGATGATGCGCTGTTCAGTAAGCGCTCTTGCTCAGCACAGTGGAATTTCTTTAGTTATATCGTTTAGTCATTTGGGATGCAGTGACACGCAGTCAAATATTTCGCTGAACAGATCTGCCACTTTTGACGCTCTTAAACAATCATAAAGACCTCGTGCTGCAGGAATTAGGAGGTTTGCTGAAGGTGCAGCTGTGGTGCAGTAAGGGGTTTGCGTCTTTAATAATCTATGACAGTTTGTGTTCATTGAATAGGAAGAATGATTAATAAATCCATATTAAACAGTCCCTTAAAAGTCACGTCTCGCTTTTAGTTTCGGACTTAGAGCGTACTCGCACTATGCTATCCGAACCATGCCCAGGCCCGTTTCCCAGATTGTTTGAGAAGTGTGAGTGCGCTGAATTGAGCTCAGGCAAGGTTCACGTGGTCCTTTTGGCGTGGTACGCTTGTATGAGTGCAAAACGTGCCAAAGCCCGAAACTGAAAGCGAGACGTGACTTTTAAGGGACCGTTTAATATGGATTATTTAATCATTCTTACTGTTAAATGAACGCAAACACCTCACTGCACGACAGCTGCGCACCTTCAGCAAACCTCCAAATTCCTGCAGCTTAATAGTTGTTTATGAGCGCCAAAAGTGGCAGATCTGTTCAGCGAAATATTTGACTGCATGTCACCGCATCCCAAACAATATAACTGAAGAAATGTCCACTGTGCTGAGCGAGAGCGCTTACTGAACACCACACACCACAGCATCGATGATGTAATCGTGCCCAGGACCGAATGTAATGTGAGTGCGGGCCGTCGGGGGAGATGGGAGTGGCGACAAGCGTGCTTTGGCCCGGTTCAAGGCAACTATACCACCTAAGGTGCGTTTTGCATTCACACACACAAGCGTACCGCGCCAAAGCCCAAATAAACCCACCTCTGGCCCACCTCGTCCAACCAGGCCAGGACCGGCCAAGTGAACCGTGTCTGAGCCCGATTCAGAGCACTCACACTTCTTAAACAATACGGGAAACAGGCCTGGGCACGGTTCGGATAGCATAGTGTGAATAGGCCGTAGATTACATACCACCAGTACGATATTAATAGAATATTACACATGTATTTTGAAAAAGTGATGCAAGTGCTGAGAAGTGGGTCATCGTGAAAAAACTAAAACTAAGACTTGAACACAGACAAGCACACACAAACTGAGAATGCTGGTTTATTCAGTACAAATCAGGACCACCAAAAGCTGACAGAAAAGCTGAGCTCTAGGGATCGCACATAATGCCAGTGCTGTAGTGGGATGAAGAGGACGTCCCCAGGACAGAGAACACACTCCTCATAAGAGGCTCTACTGAAATCTGGAAACTTCACCAGGTCTGGATTCTCCACCTCCACCTGGTGGGGGAAAACAAACTGTTTGTTTTTTAAAAGTTTTATAATGTACAACAATGCACAGTGTAAATAGTTTTTTTAAGTTACACTAACAGGGGTAAAAAGGCAGATTTTATGCCTTTTAATGAGTTAATTGAAGTACAGTATGAAAAAGATTCAAAATAACACTACAGTAATCACAATTAGTGTTTCATTTGCAAAGTTATCTGCGTTTATCGGCTCCTGATAATTTTATAAATAAGTATTGCATGCAAAATCAACTAAATTTGTCAATTTTGAAACTCAAAGATTGCCTAATTGTTTTTCATTATTTTTATAATTGTTACTGTAATGTTGGCGTCTATGTTTAAATAACAATATAAACAACATCTTCTACCTGACTGGTGTTATGGAGTAGCTGCGACTCGTGTGGATACAGACTTTTTGTTTCCTCTGGGCTGTAAAGCCGGATGTATTTTCGTCCAACCACCTGACATTCAAAAACAAAGCCATAATGCCATCAAAGGGGGGGGGGGGGGGGGGGGGGACCATCAAACTGCCTTGCCTCTCAAATGCCAGACGAACCATTTGGCTCACGTTTACCTGTGCCAAAAAATTCTGTTGAGGATCCTGATGAAGAGGAGAGACAGTCCCTCCAGGCCCAAACCAGGCATTGATTGTAATGTCATCCTCATCTCCCTCTCCAAGACAACAATAGTCTGGGATACGAATGTCTTCTTTCAGCTCTGGAACCTATGAATGAAAAATCGGTGAATGGTAGCCAATGTTACTGCTATTGTATCTGCATGATGTTACAAGTCAAATGCTACAAATAAACGTACACACTAAAATAAAGGTGATTCAATGCAATTTGTTTATTGTCATGTGCACAGTAAGGAAACATGCTTCCCTGTACAATGAAATTCTTACTTTGCCGTCCACAGTGAAGTCATACACGACATACACATATGTACACAGAAGTGACGGAAATGTAACTATGAAATGTAAATATATAAATATGTCTGAATGTAAACAATATATAATACTGATTGTGGAGTAATATAAACAGATGTATGCAATGTATAGTCTTAAAATTATGCTTATTATGCAAAAAGTGCCAAGTGCAATTGACTTATGTATATTTATGAGATTTATTTTAATCCATGCGCTTTTCCTCTTAACTAATAGTTTTTCATAGTGGAAACAGAGTCTTTAGATTGTTAAAATCTTCTTATTGGTACCCATAATGATTCTATGCCATCACCGTAAATATAAAAAAAAGTCTTGTAAACATTTATTTTTAAAAGTGAAGAACCATTTTCAGCAATGTTATTAAAGGACACCTATTTTACCCTCCTTTTTCATATTTGATATAAGTCTTTTGTGTCCCCAGAATGTGTCTGTAAAGTTTCAGCTCAAAACACCCTTCAGATTATTTAATATACCTTTTTAAATCTGGGACATTTGGACATTGTAGCTGTTTTTGTTGACTGTGCCTTTAACGCAAAAAAGCTGGTTCTCCGTGGCCATCAATAGTTATGTTTCCATCCAAAAATGCGAATAAACTTTATGCGCAAAACTGGATTATCGCATAAAAGTTGTGCGAATGAAGCATCGTTTCCATCCAACGAGTCAAAGCGAACAAAATCGTCACTTCCTGATTAACTGGCGCCAAATATCAACAGTAAAAACTGCATTTGCTGCAGTAGGAGAAGCTGCATCAATCTTTTCTAAATGAATGCGCCTCAGAAGACAATCCTGACAAGAAGTGAGCGCGCAGTGGCGTTTGAAAGTGTCAGACGCGGAGCACAGGCGCTCTTGATTCTGGAGGTCATTAATAATATAATAACATTAATACTGAAATGGTAAGGCGTTTTATAATGATCAAAACAACATTTCAGATGTTTTATAATGTGCTCAGCCTGACGTTTTATCCATTCACACACATTTTAAGCATCACGTGATCTCTTTTGACAAAATCACATGACCTTTTTTAATGCGCATGCTGGAGCTTGTGCGGTAAAAGTGTTTCCATCGCAGTTTATGCACATTTTTTCTTATCGAATAAAAAGTTTATTCTATCCAGTTAGTTTGTTGCGCATTTTTTTATGCGCATTTGCAAAATAAAATAAACAATTGCATAAAATAGGTGGATAAAAAAACATAGCTACTGTGCGTGCCATAGCTGCAGAGATCTCGCCGATGTGTGTAGCCTTTACATAGATAAACACCATAGTGACAGACAGGAATGAAGTAGATCTCCCTTACTACAGTAGGAACGTTCCCAACTGTTATTTGATATATTTGTTGTGGAGTTAATTCAAGCCTTTCTGCAATGATGAGTCTCACAATAAGTGCATGCAAACACCCCACGTTTATCTTTGCACTGTTTTTGTACGACAAATGTGACAGGATATACATTAATTTATGGACATCCGTTATGTTAATGTACAAAATAAACCTGATTTAAGTTCACAAACTGGGATTTGAAGCGTTTTCTTTTATAATTGTACTGACATGCAGCTGTGGTGATAAATTACGTAGCGATTTTATTGTATTTATTACAAACATGCACTGTTTTAAAAATATTTTAAGGTTGTAAAACTCATTCTTGATCACATTTGATGATGACTGATGAACACAGAGAGCTGAACAGATCTTTTAATCTCAGTTGCTTTGCGCACGTTCCATCTTGTGGACATGATTATGTGCGTTACTATGGAGACATGTAATTCGCGTCTGTCAATCAATTCGGTGGGCGAGGAAACTGCAATCCTACGTCACGTTGTTGTGCGCCTCAATATAGGAGGAATTTGGATCCTATTTTAACGTCAGATAATTTTTAAAAAGAGACTTGCTGTGTTTCTATCCCTCCAATTGGACAGTGGACACACTATACCTACACGCAGTTCAGTACTTCAGCTAACAAAAGATGATGATCATCATTATGCCCTTTAAATCAATAATAAATAAATTCTTCCACAATAAGTGGTTTTATTCTTTTGGAAACAAGATTTGAGGTTGTAAAACATTTATCTGTTGTGTATATTCTATTGAAATGCACTTCTAACATTAGAACGAGGCAGTTATTCTCATAACAGAGAACTCTGTAAAAAAACCCGGAAGTTTCCCTGGGGCTCTTACAATAGTTTTGCATTTTTATGACTCCTTCGTCTTCCCCTTGCCTTTTGAACTGGAGTGACAAAGGGTAGATGTGAAAATATTCCCTAAAGAAATGAGACACCAGGACTATACTGTTACACACCATCACACATTGTATAATCATGAAATAAGCATGAAACTGTAAGCACTGTTCAGCTACATTGCATTAATCTATTCATAAATGAAAATATGACGTGGGACTACCGTGCAGTCAGTTACTGCTTTAAGTGCAACACTAGCAATATTTAATTTTATTGAAGTACATAAAAACAGCAGGAATAAAAATCCACACACAGTTAATAAAGGGTTCAAAAGTCTACTGATGAATATTGATCATCAGACTCAACAAAAAGAGTGGAAGTGCTAAATGTGTTTAAATGTTTTAAATTTCTTGGAGGAATTAGAATGCAGGTGTGCTGGCGAACTTTACAATGGGGAAGAGCATTTGCATGAAAATGTTTTGGACTTTTGCACGTTTTTGTGACCTCCGATGATGCATCAATAATGATTTTGAGGTATTTATGAACCCTACATAACTGTGTTTTTTACTCTTGTTGTTTTCATTCATCGTCTCTGATCTGTTAGTTCATCAGGCGCAGTGCATTTTCTTTGACTTTTGAAGAACATATCCATAAACATGAACACAAGTTATAGTAAAAATAAGATTGGATCCGATCTAAACTCTTCCTTTCTGACAGCCTACTCTGGTCTGATCAGTCAAATGGCCCAGTTTGTTTTGATTAGATGATTGCTTAAAGGGAAAGTGCACCATGTACTCTACCTGACAAAAGTCTTGTCGCCTATCCAAGTTTTAAGAACAACAAATTAATTTGACTTCTAGTAGATCATTTGGTATTAGAAGTGGCTTATTCATTCATTTTCTTTTCGGTTTAGTCCCTTTATTAATCCGGGATCGCCACAGCGGAATGAATTGCCAACTTATCCAGCACGTTTCTACGCAGCGGATGCCCTTCCATCTGCAACCCATCTCTGGGAAACATACACACACTCATTTACACTCATACACTACAGACAATTTAGCCCACCCAATTCACCTGTACTGCATGTCTTTGGACTGTGGGGTAAAAAGGAGCACTCGGAGGAAATCCAGGCGAACACAGGGAGAGGCTCTAACCCAGCCGAGGCTCGAAACAGCGACCTTCTTGCTGTGAGAAGGCAGCACTACCTACTGGGCCACTACATCGCCAGAAGTGGCTTACATGAAAATCAAAGGCCTCTAGATTACACCGTTCCAAAATAATGGACATGTTCATGCCTTAAATTTTTATAATTTAATTAGGACTGTAAGGTCTGACTTTGCTTAGACAAAAGTCTTGTCACTGAACAGAAATAATGTACAGTATAGAATATAAAGTCATGGTGCAGTGGAAAAATTTTTAATATTGTGCTTGACTCCTTTGAGCTTGGAGGACTGCATCCATACATCTCTGCAATGACCAAATATCTTTCTTAACTCATCTGAAATGGCAAAGAAAGCGTTCTTGCAGGACTCCCAGAGTTCATCGAGACTCTTTGGATTCATCTTCTATGCCTCTTCCTCCATCTTACTCCAGACATGCTCAATAATGTTCATCTCTGGTGACTGAGCTAGCCAATCCTGGAGTACCTTGACCTTCTTTGCTTTCAGGAACTTTGATGTGGAGGCTGATGTATGAGAAAGAGCGCTATCCTGCTAAAGAATTTGCCCTGTCCTGTGGTTTGTAATGTATTGGGCAGCACAAATGTGTTAATACCTCAGGCTGTTGATGCTTCCATCTACTCTGCAGATCTCTCGCACACCCCTATACTGAATGTTACCCCAAAACATGATTTTTCCTTCACCAAACTTAACTCAATTCTGTCAGAATCTTGGACCCATGCGGGTTCCAACAGGTTTGGTTTATTCCAATAGGTCTTTTGCACTACTTGTGATGATTGGGATGCAGTTCGACAGATGTTTCATCAGAAAAATCTACCTTCTGCCACTTTTGCAAATGATCAACTAGAAGTTATTATTTGTTGCTCTTACAACTGGGATTGATGACAAGACTTTTATCAGGTAGTGTACCCACACTCAAGTGGTTCCATACATTTAGGAAATTCTTTCTTTGGCTGAACACAAAACAAGATGTTTTGAAGAATGTTGACAATGATATTAATAGTAGGAACAAAAATACCATGGAAGTCAATGACTGCTTTTTACAGCATGCTTCAAAATAGGACAGCGCGTTATTGGAAAAAATGTCTTCACTGCAGTATATATTTCAATATAAACACAATTTCACCAGATGACATGAATGGCTCCTTTTGTAAATAATTATTACTTTTAAAAATAATAAATGTTTTAAGAATTGATGATATATGTTTATGATATTTGGTGGAGTCAAACAATATTCAAGAAATGAAATTAAATAATCACCATATAACATAATATTAATAATAATAATAGTAATAACAACACTATTTTTTCATTAAAAGGTAATAATAATGTAAAATTATTCTTTAAGCTAGAAACTTAATGGCTTAAATTTTCCTAAAATGCTTTCACATGCCTTAAAAACAATAGCAAATCATATACATCAAATAATAAGGAATTCTTTCATGCTAAGGTTAAAATTTGTAAGGTTTGCTAAGGTTAAACTCTGTTGTTAAGTAATGTCTGGTCAACTATAATCCCTGTGATTGGACTACTGCAGATTTACACATTACAATATTCATGCTAAAATGAAATATTGTGCAGCCCTACCAGAATAACTTGTTTCGTGTTCGAAAAAAGAAAGAAACTCAAACCGGCTCAAAACAAGTAAGAGGATGACTAAATGATGACAGAATTCCATTTTTTGGGTGAACTGGCCCTTTAAACCACTGTGTCAGAAAGCAAAAACTTAGCTCAGCTAAGCTCTTCTCTCAGCACTTGTAAACACAGTGACTACATTTACACGGACACCAGTAATCAAATTATTTGTCTTAATCTGAATAAGACAATAATAAGATTAAGGTGTTCACATGAGTTGCTTTTTGAATGTTCCTTTCATGATCTAGTTTTACATGTTATAGCACGTAATACGATTAACATCATTGCGTCACCACATTTTCTCCGGAGCTCATGTAATTTCGGGAGTTTCATTTTTAATTTGTCGACTTTAAGTGCAGTTTGGCACTTTCACTTTCATTCAGGAACATGATCATGCATGCACTCCATGATGACAAACGAGATATTGGATGCGAGTATGAACTGCTGGAAGCTTTTAATGGAATTTGATACCGCATTAAATGGCCTATAGGGAAAAAACACTTCTGCATTTCGCAATGCTGGAATCTCCTTTACTGGAATCTCCTTGTGCTCCTTTACTGACTCAATAGGTTACGGAAAATAGTGTCAAACAGCTGTGTGTGTATGGACTATCCTGTTGCAAAATGCAGTGAAAATCCTACATGATGGTAATAGTTTGATTGCGGTGTTTACATGTCCGTACTGCACTTATTCCATATGTCTTAATTCGATTACTGTTTAGTTTGATTAAGACTTTAGTCGGATTAAGGTAATCAAAAATCGCTGTTTACATGGTAGACTCTTAATCAGAGTATTGTCTTAATCATATTAAAATCGGATTATTAATGTCCATGTAAACATACTCAGTGATATGAACACTAACGATGCTGTCAGTTTATCAATCTGAGTCAGAGTCCTCTTCTCTTCTGAGTCTCTTCTCAACATGAAACTTTTCCAGGCCTCAGCTACAACAAGTGTTTGAGGGTCAGGGTCGGTCAATGATGACTATAGACTGAAATCAAGCAAATGTGCGTATATTGTGTAATCACTTACAGATCTTTTCTTTCTTTTAGGGACCAATTACTCCATTAATCCTGCACTTTGATCTTTGCAGACCCTTTACATTCACAATCATCTAAATTATGCACAAAATGAAAGGCAAAATCTGAAAAAGCATAATAGGGTCAGTTAAAAGGTGAAGTGTGTAGTTTCTGCTTGTCGAGTGGCATCACATGCAATTGTAACTGACCTGATCAAACAGCTGATGCTGAGCCAAATATCCCACTCCATCTTCCTCCTAAAAGCAAATAACCTAAAATAGCTTTTACAGACAAAACAGCCACTTTAGATATACAAAAATACAGTATTTCAGTTGCTTACGGTTCCTGTAATGTAGCGGTCTATAAAGTCATTCACTGTAATGAGCTTTTGTGACCACTCTTCGTCTGTGTACTTGGATCCCACTTCAATCGGTACCGTCCGGCAGCCGGCGACAGTCCTTAAATAGTCTATGCTTGGAGAGAAAGCACAGTAAATCTGTGTGTGCAGATGTTTTAAAGCACAGGTGTCAATTCCAGTTCCTGGAGGGCCGCTGCTCTGCACAGTTTAGCTTTAATCATAATTAAAGGCACCTGATCAAAAGTCCTTCAGGCTTGTTTGAAACCTACAGATAAGTGGTTGAAACAGGGTTGGAACTAAACGCTGCAGAGCTGCGGCCCTCCAGGAACTGGATTTGACACGTGTTTTAAAGGATAAAATCATATAAAGCTAATTTTATAAGTACCTCCATGGATGCTGAGTGAAAGCTGGCCAGTGGTCAGTTATTCCCTCTATGATCACAGGCTTCTTAGAATCGAGGAAATCTGATCTGAAGCGCTCCAGAGATGGACAGTGAATCCTGGGAACTTCCTTAGTGGGGTTTAATACAGGCTCGGATTTACAGTCATGTTTCCTTTTCTGTTTTAGAGAAAATTTATAAGTTAATAGAGTATAGCTAAGTAATGCAGAGCAATAGCATGTTTTTAGATAAACCTTTTTTTTGTTAGTTCTGAAACTAAATCTTTATTAAACAACAACTGATAGAAGTTGTTTCTAATTTTAAATAATAACCTAACTTATTATTTAAAAATACATATCATTTTCTATTTTTTACACGTTATCTTATCTTTGTATGTAACTATAACAGAAATAATAATTGTTTATATTTATTTTGTGCTTTTTTTGGACTCTCAGCACTTTACATATTTTTGGGTGGGGAATCTCCTTATCCACCATCAGTGTGCAGAATCCACCTGGATGACGCACCAGCAGCCATATTGCAATATATGAGTAAAACACCTGCACACCACACACCAGCTGATTGATAAAGCTAATTATGATATGGGGATGATTTTTTTCAAAAGACATCCTGGAATTATTAACAACCATAGAAAGTAAGAACCTTGGTTTAAAGCTTAATCTGAAAGATGACGCTCACTGAGCAGTATAAAGTCTCCAACAAATTATACAGTCTTTGTAATTTTACAGGAATACTCCAGAACTAAAATTACTTAATCCGTTTAAGTAAATACTTTGTTAATTAACTGAAATAAAACTAAAATAAAATGTCAATATTAAATGGAATTGAAAACTAAACTAGCAAATTACAGTTAAATTTATGAATGATTCATTGGCAAATAACTGAAAATAAAGTTTAAGTATAAAAAATACTAAAACAAAATTAGATATTTGAAGCTAAAAAGAATTATAAAAAACAACTAAGAATATATAATGAATAAAAATTAAATAAAAAACGACAAAAACAAAAACTCAGTTTTACAACAATACTCGTTTTCAGGTATCTGAAATGTAAATTAAGCAATTATGCTTATTTGATTATTAAAATATGTACATTTGTAATGATTGTAGTTGTAATAATGTATTAACACATTACTGTCCTAATTAAATAATTAAAAATCAAGGCATGATCCTATTTTATTTTGGTAAAATAAGTGTTATCTTTTGCATTTTATAAATTTATTATTTAAATTTATTATTTATTATAAAAATATATACATATATATATTCATAAATTGTCCTTCAGCATAGTCTCCTTATTTATCAGGGGACACCACAGCAGAATGAACCGCCAACTTTTGCCGTTTTACAAAGCAGATGCCTTTCCAGCTGCAACTCAGTACTGGAAAACATGCACACACCTCACATTTACACACATGCACTATGGCTAATTTAGTTTATTCAATTCACTTAGTGCATGTGTTTGGACTGTGGAAGAAACCGGAGCACCCAGAGGAAACCCATGCGAACACAGGGAGAACATCCAAACTCCACACAGAAATGCCAACTGGCCCAGCCGGGACTTGAACCAGCAACCTTCTATCTGTGAGGCGACCTATACATGTATATTTTATCTGTAAAGAAGCAGTCAAACAGCTTTTAAAAGAATAGTTAGAAAACTCAATCATCTCTCTTTATGTTACAAACCAGTTTGAGTTTCTTTCTTCAGTTTGAACACAAAAAAGATATCTTGAAGAAAGCTGTATACATGTAACCATTGATTTCCACAGTATTTGTTTTTCTAAGGAAGTCAATGGTTACGGGTTTCTAGCTTTCTTTAAAATATATAGATTCAATTCAATATCAATTTACACAAGAACAAATCTCAAACATGTTTGTAACACATAAAAGGATAGATGACAAAATTTTCTAACTTCTTTTTAAATCCGTTTGACAGCTTCTTTGCAGATATCAGATGTATGTACAGTTAAAGTCAGACTTATTAGCCCCCCTTAGAATTTGTTTTCTTTTTTAAATATTTCCCAAATGATGTTTAACAGAGCAAGGAAATTTTCACAGTATGCCTGATAATATTTTTTCTTCTGAATAAAGTATTATTTGTTTTATTTAGGCTAGAATAAAAGCAGTTTTTATTTTTTTAAACATTTTAAGGACAAACAACTTCTTTTTCTCGATAATTTACAGAACAAACCATCATTACAATAAGTTGCCTAATTCCCCTAACCTGCCTAGTTAACCTAATTAACCTAGTTAAGCCTTTGAATGCCACTTTAAGCTGTATAAAAGTGTCTTGAAAAAATATCTAGTCAAATATTATTTACTGTCATCATGGCAAAGATAAAATAAATCAGTTATTAGAAATGAATTATTAAAACTATTATGATTAGAAATGTGTTGAAGAAATCTGCTCTCTGTTAAACAGAAATTGAGGGAAAAAATTAAATAGGTTACGAATAATTCAGGGGGGCTAATAATTCTGACTTCATCTGTATTTGAGTAATTCTATGCAAATGTCAACATTGCCATGAAAAAAATTAAGTTTACACCAAAATACGGTAACCATTTCTGGGTTTTTAGTTTAAGTATTTTACAGTACTTTAGGAATACTCATAAATGCATCGGTCAGTGTTTTCAAACTATTCTATTTGATTTACAATTTTACATCTATCACATCCATAATAGAGAGATGTCATCCATAATGACAATTTTTTCTATCATAAAATCATTTTCTTTTATAAAATAAAATAATTTCTCTTATCCTTTTGATTATCATTGTTTCTTTTGGGTTGTGCAGAATAATTCACAGAATTTCTACAAAGTATTTTGTATACTGTAAACTCGCAGACTTATTTTGTCACATCCATAACGCATGTTTATTTTCCACATTTACAGTACAAAACATGTTAACAGATTTTTTTCTGCTCCTATAACACTGTGGTCAGTTGTTCTGGAAAATACAAACAGATGTTTCAATATAATGTTAACATATACCTTCAATGTGAATTTATGTTTTGAGTTTTTACTGCGAATAACACATCTATAACGCTGGAATTGCTCATATATATTTTTTATGTTATGTTTGTTTAAAATTAGTAGTATTATATTATTTTGTCTTTATTACTTCAGGCAAATACTAATAAATATAAACTGACAAAAGACAGTTGTATTTATATTAATATTTGGTAAGCTGTAACCGACTTCCTTAGAAAAACAGACAGTGAAGGGTCGGTGTATAATGACATGACACTGTATTATCATTTTAAACGCTGACTTCAGGCATGACAGTGGTACAGTGGGTAGCACAACTGAATCATAGCAAGAAGGTCAGTAGTTTGAGCCTCTGCTGGGTCAGTTGGCACTTCTGTGTGGAGCCGGGTTTCCTCCGGGTGCTCGACTTTCCCCCAGAAGTCCAAAGACATGCTGTATAGGTAAATTGAGTAAGCTAAATTGTCCGTGGTGTTTGTGTAAATGAGTGTGTATGGATGTTTCCTAGTGATGGGTTGCAGCTGGAAGGGCATCAGCTGTGTAAAACATATGGCGGTTCATTCCGCTGTGGCAAACCCAGATTAATAAAGAGACTACCCTGCTGAAAAAACCATCTTAAACCAGCCTATGCTGGTTGGCTGGTTTTAGCTGGTCGACCAGGCTGGTTTTAGAGGGGTTTTGGCCATTTCCAGGCTGGTTTCAAGCCATTTCCAGCCTGGGTTTAGCTGGTCAGGCTGGGAGATGACCAGCTAAAACCAGCTTGACCAGCCTAGCCAGGCTGGGAGCCCAGCCAAAACCAGCTATGTCCAGCTTAAACCAGGCTGGTCAAGCTGGATTTAGCTGGATTTAGCTGGTCATTTTCCAGCCTGACCAGCTAAGACCAGGCTGGAAATGGCTGGAAACCAGACTGGAAATGGCCAAAATCCCTCTAAAACCAGCCTGGTCGACCAGCTAAAACCAGCCTAGGCTGGATTTTTCAGCAGGGTAAGAAAATGAATGAATGAAGCGTTCACCTTTGAACATGGCTCTTCGCTCCACTCTGCTTTGTTTGGACTCGTCGTTTTAATTTTATTCCTCAAGATGCCAACCAGTCTTTGCAGAATGTTGTCCATGATGGCTGCTCCCATCAACAAACTCATGTCACACGTCCTAATGGCCTCCTGAATGATGTTTTGAGGTGGATTTCCATGACATAAACTTAATACTTTGAACAAGCAGCCATAAGAGTAAACTCTCCTCCACTCTTTGTCCACATCTCTCCATGTGCCAATGTTGAGCTTCTCCCAGGAGTAATCTATAATGATCTGGGCTCTTTCGGCAGAAACTGGACAATCTGCTTCACTGTACAGCTGATCTCTGGACAGCTCGAGACACTTCAGCACACTGAGTTCAATCTTTTCACTAAAGTCAAGAGGAAATTCAGACACAGTCGAGGGCAAAACAGCCCGAATATCTGTCCAAACCGAAGCCATGAGAAGTATTCAAGACCACTTATATTCTCATATTTCTGATGTGTGATCTGGTGAAAAGTTATCATAGGTGTAAATAAGTTGCTAAGGAGAGGCTGCTCATTGTATTAAGATACGAAATGTCGTGCATTACATTTCATATTCGTCATGATACATGGTAAACAATAAAAATACCGTGTGCACGAATAGCGTAGACGTCGTGATAATCTGTAAAATAAGTTAAAATGAAAGTATTACAGCGACATGCATCATCTACAAGAGGTTAAAAATACCGCCTGGTTTTCATGTCCGGCTAGAAACACAGAAAACATACAAGGTTCCGCTCTGAAATTCATTCCGAGAAACACTTACCATGAAATTACCATGATATTAATAAGTAGGACAGGATACTTGTGAATAGGGTAAAAATAATCTTCTTTTTAACACCATTTTGTTGAAGTAAGACAGGATATTTCTTTTGAATAGGGTAAAAAATCATTTTGACATTAGAGTGAAAGGGTTGGGGTTTGAGGATCTCCTATTTTCATTTAAAAAGAAAAAAGAAAACGAACAACAAAAAAAAAATATATAGGTATGAATAAATTAATCAAATAATTTTTATTAAAATGTGAAGTTTGATATATGTAAGCTAAATAACATTTTGGATGCTTTTCTCCATTAAACTGGAAACATGCCTTTAATGCCTCCTCTCAACCAAAATACTAACCACCGTAATAATTAATTAAATAAATGTGCTGTAAATAAATATATAAAAGGATTATAAATAAAAGATTCTAAAAATGGTCTGTGTATGATTTAGAAAGATGTGCTATTAGCGACACCTGTGGTCGATAAATGAATAGCAGGCAGCAATTCTTTAATCTTAAGTAACCAGTTGATTCTGATAATGACAGAGGTGTAAAGAGTACCTCAAAACCAGACTTGAGTAAAAGTACAGATACCTTACTGTAAAAATTACTCCATTACAAGTTACAAGTCACCAATTCCAATAAGACTTAAGTATTAAAGTATCCAATTTTAAAAGAACTTAAGTATTTTACTCATATATGTAGGTTCAAAGAACACCAAGAAAGGTTTCATTTCCTAATATAGAAATTACATTGAACACCGTAATGTTTTAAAATGGCAAAACAAAATAGATAAAAAAATAGAACAAAAAGTCTCAAACTCAAATGTTTAAAAAGCCACAAACAATAAAAAAAGTAGTAAAACGTAGTAAATAAAATTCAGCGCTGACTTTCATGTGATTCACCTCTTAGTATCAAAGGGGGAAATACTTTTATTTTGAGTAGTTTTTCAATTGATTAGGATGTTTTCTCTGTATTAAAATTAAACAAAGAGGAGCAATGTTATTTTTCAAATTAGTAAATGAATTCAATGAAAAATACATCACAAATAGCTATGTCGCAGTGGATTTTGCCATATCAGTAACTATTAAGTTCACTAAATTCACATTAATCTACCATTAAATAGTCTCTTACTTCAATGTGTTTTCTCAAATTTGACGATAAATTCTTAAAAGCACTTATTTTCATGGTTCGTGGCAAACAACGTAGACACTGCATCCTGTAAAAGCCATTCTGTATATGCAAACATTGAAAACATGTCTTTCAGATAAGGCCATGGATGGTCATCAGTGCTGGCACTGCTTGATTTGCTGACTTCGGCTTCATCATTTGCTGCTGCCATGTCGCTAATTAAACACCTGGTATTAGGCAAGCTGCTAATTCACGTTCCTGTGATTTAGCTCATAAATAGCATACAGTATCTTCAGCATCCTGCAGATGACGATTATCGCCTCGCCTGCCCAACAAATTGGCCGTGGTAAAAGATAAAGATGCCGACTTGTCGCGCATCACAATGTAACGAGTAACGTTCAAATGCAGTGGAGTAAAGAGTACATATATTCAATCAAAAATGTAGTAAAGTACAGAGTAAAAGTTGCTTTTATTTTTAATACTCAGTACAAGTACAAAGTAGCCAAAAAATACTTAAGTAAAGTAAAGTCCATTTACTTAAGTAGCCTACTTTACAGCACTGGATAATGAACATCTAGACAGACACTGATGACGACAGCAATGTTTAGGAGGGAACAAACATGTGCTGCTCTCATTCCAATCAAAAATGAAATAAGCACAGACTGCAGGTCTGCACAAGAAGTTTGGCCATGTAGAAATGGTGGTACACAACTGAGCATGGTTTCTCTAAAGTTGTTTTGCCCTTCACTATTGTCAACTGGTGAGGTTTGTACCTCGCCAATATCATTTATAGTGTTTTTGAAATTACTGAACCAACAGACAGGAGCCTGATAGAAATGCTCAATTTTCAAACAGCTTTGAGAGGATTTGAATCTGATACACACACACACACACGCAAGCACGCACGCACGCACGCACGCACGCACGCACGCACACACACACACACACACACACACACACACACACACACACACACACACACATATATATAAACAATTAAATAGGTAATTATATTTTTCGAATGAATAAATCTAATTCGAAGTGCAAATGTTGAAAACTAAGTTGAAACACTATAAATGACTAAAACATTGGAATATACTCTGATTATTATTCGTTGTTGTGATTTAACTCACTTGTATTTATTATTTCAAATTCTAAAAAATAAATGAATACCATTTTTAAAAAAACTAAAACTCGCTGGTCTAGTCTGGTGGTGAGGTGTGTGTAAAAACAGTAAGGCACCATCTGATTAGTCAAATCTGGATTTAAAATATGCACGAGATGCACAGATGCTTGGAAGGTAAAACAAATGTAATTTGTTGCACCTCTCTGCCATGGTGTTATCATAGTGACACTTTTGGCTGTGGCCGAGAGAGCTTAACCTGCTGCAGTTTAAGAAAACACATGCAATTACAGAAAACGCCAGCAAATTAAGAAAAGATCTTTATTTGAGAGCACACGTGCTGCAGTTTCTTACAACGCAAACAATTTACGAAAACATGCTGCATTATTGTCACACTTGCAAAAAGAACTAAACACAACAGAAATGTTTCAAGGAGACCCTAAAATGTGATGGACAAGGCTATTTAGGTTAAGGTTATGCAATACAAAAGACACGAGAATCTGGATGGGAAAACAAACAAACAAAAAAACTCACCTTTCAAAGATCACCTACAACTTCACTGAGCAATAGTCATGGCACAGCAGGGTGTCAACTTTTTGGGTCCCTTTTGTGGGCGTTTCATGAATTGCTTGCGTTGTGAGAAAATGCAGTGTGTTTTTTTTTTTTGTGTATGCGATGTGACGATTTGCAGCATATGGGCTGTCAGACAGATGAAGAGCTTTTCTTAATTTGCTGTTTTTTTTTTTTTTTTTACGTAAATGCAAGCGTTAATTGTAGCACATTAGGCACTCTAAGACAGTGGTTCTCAAAGTGGGGGTCGGGACCCCTCGAGGGGTCGCCTGACAATGAAGGGGGGTCACCTGGTGATTTCCAAAAATCTATTTATTTTTATTAAACCATACGAATTACCATAATTTATCCATAACCTACTGAAGAGAAAAAATTGTTGTTTATAGTTACTATATACCACAGGTGTCAAACTTTGTTCCAAAAGGGCCGCAGCTCTGCACAGTTTAGTTCCAACCCTAATTAAACACACCTCATCAAATTAATTGAGTCCTTCAGGCTTGTTTGAAACCTATACAGGTAATTGTGTTGGAGCACGGTTGGAACTAAACTGTGCAGGGCTTCAGCCCTCCAGGAATTGAGTTTGACACCCCTGCTATATATGGTTACTATAGTAGCTTATAGTTCTATTGGATTGCGACCCCTGGGGTAAATAAATTATATTCAGATGCAGCAGATTGATTTTATAACACCAGGTTAAACTTTCTGGCCCATTTACAGCACTGACATACATAAAAAAATAAATAAATAAGAATAGACTTGGGTCTATGGTGTGTATGCGTCACTGCATGCAAGGTTTCTGTATTTATAACCACCTCAGAAGATATTTGGTGTCGCAAGTCACTGGCATTGTCAGTTTAGGCATCGCAGGCTGAAAAGTTTGGGAACCCCTGCTCTAAGCCACTTTACTTTAGGTACTATAGGATATTTAATTTGTATCTTTCGACACCAGAATGTCAATGTTCAGTGTGCTCAGGGTTTCAATATTTTATGTAAGAACTGTGGTATAGGCCTGTTTTCCATATGTGAAATGATTATTTTCTTGTAGCCTATATAAATATAGCGTGACCTCTAGTTAACCCTCTGTTGTATTATGCAAAATACTAGAGTCTGCTAAATAATTAATTCCTAGTTAGAGATCCTTTTATGAGGCGCGCTGTGAAGGGCTGAACAATGATTTGAAACCACAAGCCTCCAGAAATATTTAAATTTGCAGAAAAAACAATTGCAGCACAACGTAATGAAAACAGTGCTTATCTCTGTGTTCTGCTGATGTGTCCAGAAGTCTCTACTGCTGAGTCAACAAGACTGTTTACAGACTCGACCACTCTATGTTGCACATGTAATACAGCTGTATCTTTCAGATCAGCGTCTCTGCAGAAGTATTAGCGGATGTAATAAAGAACAAATATTGCCTGTTAGAATTGGGAAGGACACTCTTTGTTCCGATCATTTATTTTGTGTGTTACATAAATGACAGGGTTTGTTCATTTTTTAAAATTTACCCTTGATTTCTCCCATGGCCATCAAGCAGACGGCTCTGTGTAAAAGAGCCAGCTGTTGGAGAATCAGATGTTTGCGCAGCTAGATGATCTGTGAAGGAGTGTATTTAGTAAACATAAGAATTTTAACGGTGGCAAACACTGCAGTTGTTACCTTGTGTGAGTGTACGTTATTTATGCATTTAATAAGTTTTGCTTGACATATCACATCAATTTTAGTAATGCAGTACATCTCTAATGAAATCTAATTTTATTAGGGTCTAAAATCTATCTAAAATAATGTCTAAAATGGTAGGTTTCAGTTTTCTTCTAAATTGAGGCTTTTCTGCAATAAACAATTCAAAAACAGAGCGTGATGCAACAAGATATTGTCCTATAAATCACATGATTGACATCACAAAACCCCTTTAAATATTTGATGAGCTCATTGTGAACTCTCAGCCGATTCAATCGATTCTTCTGTTAATCTGCACTTTAAAAAATAAAGGCACCAGGAAGACCAACCCCCTCACAAAAACAAAGAAAAAAAAGTGAGGTCACTGTAAAAAATTATTCAAATTTTTGTTTATTCATTTTGATTTTGTAAGTTGAAATAATTTGTAGTTATTGAATTTGTTAACACAGTTAGTT